TCGGTTACGGTTACTGCAAAGATACTGCCGAGACTGCAGTTAACCTAGAAGGTTTTAAAAGGGCTCAACCCCACATTACTTGCAGGAACTAATACATGTATATATGCCATCAAGGTCCTGAAGATCTTCTGATCTCCAACTGCTCAGCGCTCCCAGGTCGAGGTTGTGCTCATTTGGTGATCGGTGCTTTTGTTATCGTGGCACCCAAGCTGTGGAACTCCTTGCCACTTGAAATCAGGCAATCGGAGTCTGTAGATATATTTAAGTCTGCTTTGAAAATACATTTCTTTGAAGTGACCTTCCCTCTTTCGTTTAGGCGGTTGCCCTGGTTCTGCTTTTGTTTCCTGCTTTTCATGCATTGCGCATTGGGATCCTAGGATGGAATGCGCATTATACATTTGAAACGCGTATATATAACAAATCGAGCGTCTGCGCATCGCTCCATTGTTCACATCGCTTGGAAACTTGAACTCAGATGTAAACATTTAGGGTACGGATAGTTGCCCACCTTACCGAAGGCTTTTGACACTGCAAAAATTAAAGATAATATTGGAGATACGAGTCGAGTTTATTTGGACACTGGTTTTCTCCCCATGTAAAAAAAAGAGTTGTCCAAGTATCCCATGCAAACATGCCCTCTACAAAGCCTCTTAAGACTCAACGGGACCTGGAATGCACAGTGTTGTTAAATTTGGAGTGGGCTCAAACGCAGACTCAGTCGTACTTTGGAGGCAACACGTTTATTAACATTTACACGTACTTACGAAGAGGTAACTGCCCCTTCACCAGATAACCTATGGTGGTGGTCTACCAGGCTAGCTACACTAACAGCACTGGGAGTAGCTACTATGGACGGGACCCCAGCTTGGGTCCCGGTCCCCGTGTTGATCTTGTCTTCCGGACGTAGGGCGACGAACGTAGATTCTTGATGATCACAACAGCAGCCGGTCCCACTGGGAGACCGGCTTATATCCTCTGTGGCGGGGCTCGCTCTGCCCCTAGCCACGACCCCCTTCTCGAATTCTCGGGGAGGATCTCCACTTGACACGTGGTCACCCCCAGCCCCCCCTTTGGGGCTCCCCGGGTAGACACCTCCGGTCACGTGTCCTCCGGGGTCAACCAGAGTGCCATGGCCCCCTCCAACCCCGTTCCGAGGCCGGCACTCTCGCACCCTATCCTTTGGTGGCTGGCACTGCACGTGGAGCGTGGTGCCATCACTCACTGTCAGTCAGTGGTGTCCGTGATATCAATACATTGCATGGCGTGCCTTTCCCAGGCCAGCCACACTGACATCCAGCGATGTCGCTACAAATGTAATCAAGAGAGGAGAGGTTGTGATGACGAGTGGGAGTTTGTGTGTAGTGGAAGCACAGCAATAGATAATGATGCTGACATTGGCGCTCTCTCCGATCCGTGTTGTTCGGCATGAGATCTGTGTGCTTGTCAGGAGCTCCTTCAGCAACTGCATTCATTTCCATAATAGAGTTGTTTTTGGGTTACATCGCGAAAGTATTAATATGTCGTGAAACCCGCCACCGCCCAACACAGCCAATTACAGGAGTAAGGTTTGCCACCTAAAATGCCAATTCGTTACTCATTCAGCACACCGCTGTGTTGGAGAGTAAACACACAACATTCGAATTCGAGTGCGCACAACACACCGGTTTTCTGAACTAGTAACGAATTTGCATGTTTTGTTTACATGCCAAACCTTCCTAATTGTCTGTCGGGAGGTGGCGGGTCTAATGACACATATAACATTGGTCGTGAAAGCCTACTACTTTTTAAACTGAATTCATTTAAACTCCCAGCACGTGAAGCGAAACGTCGGGCGTCGTATCGAACAACGCGGTGTAACCTGAAATCACCGCACGGACTGAAAACACCGCACGGCCTGAAAACACCACACGGCCTGAAAACACCACATGGACTGAAGATACCACACAGACTGAAAACACCACATGGACTGAAAACACCACATGGACTGAAGATACCACACGGACTGAAAACACCACATGGACTGAAAACATCACACGGACTGAAAACACCGCACGGACTGAAAACACCACACGGACTGACAACACCGCACGGACTGAAAACACCACATGGACTGAAAACACCACATGGACTGAAAACACCACACGGACTGAAAACACCACACGGACTGAAAACACCACACGGACTGAAAACACCGCACGGACTGAAAACACCGCATGGACTGAAAACACCGCATGGACTGAAAACACCGCACGGCCTGAAAACACCGCACGGCCTAAAAACACCACGCGGCCTGACAACACCACACAGACTGAAAACACCGCACAGCCTGAAAACACCACAAGGCCTGAAAACACTACATGGCATGAAAACGGCACATCGCGGGCGTTGGAAAGTGACATCCAGAGGTTGACGACCAAGGGAGAGACTTGATGCCCACATGGTGGGATATTGTGAGTGGGCTTTCGGTCAGCTGTACAAAGAGGGATAACGTTTAAATCCAAGTAGTGGTGAAATACTTCTTCATTGTGGGTTGGGTGTCAACTGTGAAACAAGATTGCCTCATACCCCCTACCACAGGGGTGTCCAAACTTTTTTTCCCGAGGGCCACATACAGAAAAATATACGAAGGACTGGGCCACTCACTAGATGTGAGGTATACTGCCTCACTTCTCATGCACTAATATTGGCAAAATCAATCAAATGCAGGTAAATTACGTTTGATAATTGAACATGTTTGAAGAAAAAAAGCCTCCATCATAGCTCTCCATTAGTAGATTTTCATTTTATTTTTTACAAAAAGGTTGGCAGGTCATTCTCTCAGTGACAGCCTCAGATTGGTTCTTAGGTTGTTGATCCCCCTTCATTGTCCTGTATGAAGGGAGAGACAAGAAGAGAAATAGGGGATGTGGATATTTCAAGCTTATTACACAAATAAATTATTGGGCTTGTTAACACATCAACTAACGTTCATTAAAAAATTGTCATCAACTTTAATTGACTCAATTTATTAAGTAATTGGGCTTATTAACAAATGAAAACTGCGTGTATATTTTTAACTCACTTGTAATGGGAAGAATGTTGCGCTCAGTGGGAGCAGTGATGCTGCGCTTTGGTCTGAAGGATAGCTGGCAGGTCAGGAGTAAGTTTGGTGGTTGAGATGCGAAGGACGTCACGGAGATGGCTGTCTGTCGTTCTGGTTCTCAGTCTGCTTTTGTTCAGCGTTAACAGAGAGAATGTCTGCTGACAGATGTTTGTTGAGCCGAACAGACTCATCATTCGTTTTGCGTGGCGTCTCATCAGGGGAAACTTGGCCTTTTTCAAGCTCCGGTAGAAGTCAGGTAGGGAGAGAAGCTAATGCTGATTCTTCAAAGAATCATCACACTGAATTTCGATCAGTTCTAATTGCAGACTCTCCTCCACTTCTTTTGCATCCATTGAAAACGGAGCCGCGAACAGTGTGATTTCCTTCTCAATGACAGAAACATCTTGGAAGCGCTGACTGAATTCTGTCATGAGAGATGTGATCACAGACACATATTCTCCCCTTTTTGTCCCCTTTTGACTGCGAAGATCGAGCAGTTCCTCCGTAATGCAAAAATTATCATCAACTCCCCGCAAAAAATTTTACAGCTGTGCAGTGTCCGTGGCATCTGTGCTCTCATCACATGCAATCGAGTAAGCACAAGCTTTATCTGACACTTGCTGTTTTAAGTTAGCCGACAAGTCTTCAATTCGCCGCACAACCGTATTTCTGGACATGCTAACATCGTTGAAATCCTGCATTTTCTCCGGGCACATTATTGCCACGACTTTATTGAGGCACTGTTTGATGAAGTCACCGTCTGAGAAAGGTTTCCCGTGTAGGGCAATGAGTTGAGCTACTTCATAACTGGCTATTGTTGCATTTTCTTGAGCTTTGTTAGCACGGAAAAAAACCTGCTGCGTTAGCAGACTAGCTGCCATTTGCTTTGCCTTCTCTTTCCGCTCGGCGCCAGTGTAGGACGTGAAGGACTGATGTTCCGTTTAATAATGCCGTCGTACATTGTACTCTTTCATCACGGCAACACTCTCATTACAAATCAAACAAACACACTTCCCCTTGGTTTCTATGAAAAAATATTCATTTTTCCACTGAGTCTGAAATTTTCTGCACTCGCTTGCAATCTGGCGTCTCTTCGGTTCCGGCATTTATGGTGACCCTGAGCAAATTTTTTATTCGATTGCTTGCTTTGTGGAGGCGCTGCCTAGTTCAAGACAATAGCGCCACCTAGTTTTTAAACTAAGAAGTGCAATACAGTGGGCCGTAGTCCATTATATTTTTAGACTTGATACGGGCCAATTAAAAAAGGATGGCGGGCCGCAGTTGGCCCACGGGCCGTAGTTTGGACACCCCTGCCCTACCAGCATATAGGTTTCACAATTTTTCTCCATAATAAAAAATTGTACTTAACCCCAACGCTTAATTGGCACAAACGTCCACAGAGTAACACTTTAAATGTCTTACAAATCCACGACGTGTTGCCGACTAAACAAATGTTTCTATGAAAATAACGAATGCTGACTAAATAAATGCTTCACCGCTGTGGTGAATAGTCCTAATAACAGTAATGCAATTCATAACACGCATGATATTCGACGGACATATGTGACCGTGAGGCTTGGAGTCAAGCTGAGTGTCACACTCGAAAACCGGGCGAAAGAGGTGGGCTTTTAAGAGAGCTGAACCTTTAAGAAAGAGGAGGGCCTTTAAGAGAGCTGACACCTTTCAGAAAGAGGTGGACCTTTAAGAGAGTTGACCTTTTAAGAAAGAGGTGAACCTTCAAGAAAGAGGTAAGACGTTAAGTCTCAGGTCGTTGTAGGTCGACTGCTGTTGTGAATGTGCAGCGGCATGATGGCGCTCCTGATGGCAGGTGTTGCCGCGGATAATCGACGGCTGGCAGTGACCCTCCTGGTCCTCGGTCTTCTGGCATTTATGTTGCGCCCCTTGCCCTGCCCCCCAGGACGACTACATGGAGGCCCTGCTGCGCCTGCACCTGACGGTGACACGCGCTTACAAGGTGAACCCCGACATCCGCTTCGAGGTCTTCATCCACAAGGTGGACGGCCTCTCGGACGACCACAAGATCGAGACGCAGCGCGACATCCACCAGCGTGCCAACGACGACCTGGCCGACATCGGCCTCGAGCAGATCCACCTCAGGTGCGACAGGGACGCTTACGGGGGGCAGGGGAAGGGGGGGGTTGGGGAATGTGATATTTCCATCGCCACCGGCTGGGCAAAAACACCATCCCCACCACTTTCGTAAACACCCTTTACCGTTTTCGTTTGGGCAGGAAGACGCTTTGGATGGATTTGCTAAATCCTTTTTGAGGAATTGGGCCAACATCGATGCAGGGTGAGAGGTTACCACGGCCACTTTCATAAAGGTATACACATCTCTCGACTCGTTAGGAAACCCAAGTGGCTGATGGAAACCTCGCTCGTATGGGGGCGGATAATCTTCTCCCCGGCCAGCCCAAACACGTGGCATTCCCAGGCAGTCTCTCGCACCAGGCTCAGCCTTGCTTAGCTGCTGGCATTTGGTGAGATTAGGCACTTTGAGGGAAGATTTTATCTTTTTTAAAAATATGTTTTTGAGGTTTATCTCCAGTGACCCGGTTGTGCGACTGGCACCTTGCATTTATTCGGCCCTCTCGCCGAGCAGTGCATCACACTTCAGGTGAGATAATGGCCCATGGAAGCGGATATCATGGAACTACCTCTGAGGTCCGTTCAAGCGACCTCGGGTGCATGCAGTCGGAGCAGTACTTTCGTCGCATGACAGTCGAATCGATATTTTAATTCTCGATCCTGGAATTTATCTGTCACCAAATTGAACGTGATTTTTTTCTGCAGTCATCGGTATCCCGGCTGAGGCCTCTTTGAGCCACACCCGGCCACCCCAAGGGAGGTTCGATGTTAATAGCGGTGTCCCCCGCCTCTCTATGCCGCTACAGCTTCTACCTGACAAGTATTTACGACCACTCCATCTTCGAGGCATTCAGCAAAGTGGTGCAGAAGCTCATCCCTCAGCTGCCCACCCTGGAGAACCTCCTCAACATCTTCATCTCGGTGAGTGTTGGAACACGGCAAACAGCATTGGCCATCATCACCATCACCGCCGCAGTAGCTATAGCAGCTACAACAGCAGTAGCAGCTACTATTTAAGTTTATTTGTTACACAGATTATCCCATTTAGCTGGTTGCCTGGCATTTTTTATAGAGCAGCAGCAGCTACAACAGCAGGAGCAGTGGCAGCTACGGGAGCAGTAGCAGCCACAGCAACAGCAGCAGTTGCACCAACAACAGTAGCAGCAGCAGTGGGAGCAATAGCAGCTGCAGCAAATTCAGTAGCAGCAGCAGTGGCAACAGAAGCAGTAGCTACAGATGCAGCTGTAATAGCAGGAGCAACAGTAGCAGCAAAAATGGCAGCAGCAACAGTTATGCAATGGAAGGGGAGCAGTGTCTCTAGTGCTGTGTACAATTTGTATAGATCCCTCCTGCCATCAGGTCTCTATCAAAAAGAGACCTGATGGCTCAATGGGACACTCTGTCTACAGGAAAGCCACCTACACGGATATCTACCTAACCACCACCATCCATCCCAGAAGAATTCCCTCATCAAAACTCTACACCATAGAGCTCGATGTATTTCCGACCATCACCACCTAGTCAGTGAACTGGAGCACGTACACCAAGCCCTCAAGACCAATGGATATTCAGACTACACAAGCCGTAAAGCTGTCACCCCAACCGTTGGGAAAGAACCATCCGAGGACCCAATAAAAACCATCACCTTGCCATACATGGCAGGGGTCACCAAAAAGATTTCCAAAATCATGAGCAAACACAAGATCCAGGTACGGTTCAACACAGTACATAAAATTCGTGATTTTATCCCATCTATGAAGGATGTGATCCCTGATATGCAATACCCCGGTGTCTACAAACTAAGCTGTGTCTGCGGCAGCAGTTACATTGGGGAAACTAAGCGACATGTCTCAGACCGGGTTTGTGAACATAAGGCAGATCTGAAACACGGTAGGACCAATACCTCAGCCGTGGCTGATCATTATTGTAATGCGGTGGGCACACATGAAATAGATTTTGCCAAGACGAAGGTACTTTGCAAACCCACGGGCTATCAGCAAATATTCGTTCATGAAGCCATCCAGATATATAAACACAGGCACAATTTTCAACCGAGAAGATGGGTACAAACTGAGCAATCGCTGGAAGGACGTCATTAACCAGTTTAGGTCATAACTGGCTGTGATGTTTCTATCCTACCTACCTATGTTAGCAGTTATTTTGGACTCTCTGAGTTACATTCACTAACACAGCCAACCTTTACGTGTTAGTAAATGGCGGCTTGCCACTGCGTCGTCCGGGCCCTAGTCAAGCTTGGCCCCCACGGAGCTTACATTTACAAGAAAATTTCTCTCTCCTACGCGCTCTTTTTTTTCACCTGAAGACGATTGCTTGTATTGTGATCGAAACGTCGTGATTTTGATTTTTGTTATTTTTTCTATCTATGTGGTTTTACCGAAAGACCCAAAGAATATAACAAAATATATTGTGTATTTGTTTGTGTTTCTCCCTTGCGATGGGACTTTGTAAGATGAACGTTGAGATTTATAAGGGCACGGGGTGACCAATAAGGTCTGAATTGGTCTGTAATAAGGTAGTCACTGATAAGGGGTTGACAGGTATGGCATGGCATTGTCCCATACAGACGAGACAAATCATATCAGCCCGCGATTGCGCTGAACCTTGTTCTCGTGGATTGCCAGGGGGCATGGCTCCTCAGCGCCCACGGGAACAGAGTTTCCCAACGTCTGTGCGATCCACCAACCCCCTCGTCTCCACCGGTGCTGGATTCCAGGCCAGGCACCTAGCCACCGCTGCCTGGTTGGCTTTTCTCCACGCCGGGTTTTGTTGTTGCGTGTCCGCCGGGAGGTGTATCGTCATCGCTACCGGCCCCGTTGCGTTCGCTCGTTTAGATGGGTTCTAGACGGCAGGAGTGGTGGCACCAGCTGTTCAGTCCTTTCGCTTGTCAATGTTTACATATCTCATGGTAAAGGGATAAAAAGCAACCGACCTGCCCATCGCCAACATGTAGCTGGACGGAGGCCTCGCACCACGCCGCGTCACTCGCAGGCGTTGTTCGACCGTACTTCGCCTTGCTGGTCGGTGCGGGATTGCGAAGGAGGAAACGGGCCCAGAGGATCCATTCAGATGTCAATTCACCGCCGGTGTTACCGGTGGCTGGGAATAGAACTCGGGTGGCCCGAGTTCGTTCGTGGTGAAATGCGCCAACCACTGCACCGCCGAGCCACCCGTCCCGTGGTGCTTGGGCACAAACGTAAAAGCCGTTCGTTTGCCCGCGTTTTGCCACCGCCACGCTTGGCGACCGTGGCGAGCGCGTTTGTGATGAGCCCCCCCAGATGTGAATGTGCAAATGACCCTGAGCGCCTCCTCGGTAAGCAGCTCGTGTGCGGCTCGAGGAGCCATTGGTTGCGTGTGCAGCGACGTTCCTCTCGCTGTCACAGGGCCTCATTGTGATCCATCTGTGTGAAGCCCCCCCCCCCCCCCCCCCCCCCCCGGGGTTGTAGATTTAGGCGCGCCGCGGCGATTCACCGCTTCGCGATTCGCGGCGAATTGTCACTGTTCAGGGTGACGATGCAACTCTGTTTTCCCATTGTAGCACGTGTAGGATTTATAGTGGTATGCATACGTTGTGGGGTGTGGAACTGTAGAATCTGTAGTAGTGTGGATAAATCGCATAATCTGTTGTGGTACGTATGTATGTTGAACTTATTTCGCACCTTACGTAGACTACCGTGCAAATCGGAGGTGCGATTCCATCGACGTATGCATCTGTAGAATATAAAATAGAGGTGCGAATCTATACTTTTTTAGACTGGTGTTTTGAATGCATTAATTACATCTTGTTTAAATTGTAATGTTTGTGAATTGGTTCATCTTTGAACCTTTACACCTCTAGAATGATGGATGTAATTTACGAAAGAATTATTTCGCTCTTTTTCCTTGCCTGCCACCCATGTCTTCTCTCCTCCATGTCTCCTTCCGTGTCTCGGTGTCTCTTCTCCCTCTGTTTTCCGCCTTCCTTCCATCACGTCTCTCGCCCCCTTTCCTCTCCACGTCTCATTTCATGGCTCTGTCTGCCTCTTTCCACCACGTTGGTCTGTTTTCCTTCCTCCGTGTGTTCTTCACCCCTTCTCCTTGTCCCCTACCCTGTCTCCCTGCGTCTCTTCCCCCCCCCACCCCTACCGACCCCTACTCGTCGCTTTTGTCCCCTCTCCCTGCCCGGCTCAGAACTCGGGGATCGAGAAGGCGTTCCTGTTCGACGTGGTCAGCAAGATCTACATCGCGACGGACAGCTCGCCGGTCGACATGCAGTCCTACGAGTTGTGCTGCGACATGATCGACGTCGTCATCGACGTCTCCTGTATCTACGGGTAAATCGGCCCGCTGCTGCCGCCTCCACTACCACCGCTGCTTCGGCTTCTCCTGCGCTTTGCCCGCTGCCTGGTCCCCTCCCTGCACTGTCCTGCCACCACCGCTACTACCGCCATCACTGCCACCGCCTTCACTACCAGCGCCGCCATTGCGGCCACCACCATCGCCACTGCCGCCACCACCGCCACTGCCGCCACCACCACCGCCACATTTGCCGCCGCCACTATAACCACTGTCGCCACTGCCAACACAGCCGCCACCATCACCCACACCACCGCCGCCGCCTGCTTCCACTGCCTCCTGCCGGCGTGATTCCGCTTGCTGGCCGTTTTGGTGGACTGTAGCTTAATCGTGTGGCTTGTTCCGCTTTCATCCCTTGTCTCGGTTTGCCTACGGTTTTCGAGCAGTTGTACAGCAAGTAGGTTGCTGTCCTAGAATTTATTAAGGCATTTTTTAGTTTTTCCCTCGGATGTGTGGGTTGGGTTGTTTTTTCCCAGCGAGTCAAGTTTTCTCTCTTTCTCGTGCATGCTTTGAGAGATTTAGCCAATGTCCCAATGCATGACCCTCCTGAGATAGTCTATAGACAATAAGTCTTTGAGTGGGTAAAGAAGAGGCTTTTGTTGAAAAGGCTAGCTTGGCCAATAAGCTCACGTTATCACAGAGCCCTCCCATCATCAGTGTGACCGTATGGGCTACAAAATCGAACAAATTGAATAGTGGAACTGAATACATTTTCATGATTAAGTCGGCTTGGTTTGAAGGTCTTCACCGTCACGAGTTGTGAATTTGGCAAAACCAATGTTGTGAGCCACTGGCACATTTCAATCCATAGGGCACGGTCTGTCTGAATATGACGCTCTCCCGGCTTGTTGTTGTTGTTTCAGTAAGAGCTCATTTGCACGAGCCATTGTGAAGCCTGCCACGGTGGCTCGTCTCCCAGAAAAAAACATTGGCCGCCGAACCATCGGCTCGTGACGGCCTGCGTTTTTAAATAACCACGGCGAGCGGAGAGTGGTTTAGGGCACAGTTTTTTTCTTTTAAATCCCTGGGCCACACGCAGGCAACTGTTGGACAAGCGGATCTGCCCGCACTTTGGACTTGATTGGCGAGGAAAGCATCTCTTGCCAAAACAACCTCCGCAAGCGAAAACTGTTGTCACGAGCGACATTGACACACAGCCTGCAAATAAGTAGCAGAGCCCTCGTGAGCTCACAGCAGAGTTTCCGTCTGGATCTTTGCACGCACGCGTGTGTTCCTGTGTTTGTGTGTGTGTCATGGGGAGCCATTGGTGAGCGGTTAGCACGCTGCGCTACGAACCCGGCAGGCCGAGTTCGATTCCTGCTCCCGGCCAACACCAGTGACGAATATCTGAACCAGTCTTGGGCCTCCCCTAGGTCAACTCGGCCTCAAATGAGTACCTGGTGCAGTGTGTAAACATCGACACTGGGAAGACAAAGGCGGTCGGGCGTGGTACTGGCCACCCACCCCCTCGTGTACCGTGCTGGCCTTTATAGGTGCTTGGTAACAGGACATGCCCCAACAGTCTGCTAAGGCTATACAGGGGATCTTTGTCTTTGTGTGTCTGTGTGAACAACTGTAATGAACAGTTGTACAGTGGGGAGTGGTGGTGCAGTGGTCAGCGCGCTGTGCTACGAACCTAGAGATTTCCATTCCCGGCCGTGGCTAAAGTCAATGGCCGAGTGTCATCCGTATCGGTCCTTTTCCTGAACTAGGTTGACTTGGCCTCAGATGAGCAGGTGATGAGGTGTGTGAACATCTGCACGACGACGACGACGACGACAATGCGGGCGGGGCGTGGTGCTGGCCACACCTACGCCCTTGTGCGCCGGAACCGTGCCGGCCTTTATAGGCACTCGCTCATGGTACTCGCCCCAACAGTTTGTTTAAAACTATACAGTGGCCTCTCAGTTTACGATACCATTGATTAACGATCCTCCTCTCATAGGGTCCCATTGTTTCTATTAACGATAAATAATTTCGATTAACGATATTGTTTTACGATATCACGCGAACCCACTTATTTAATTCGTACCGATAGCATCGAAGTTTACATATAATCCAAAAATGTATTTATAATATTTAAACAATGGATAGTAATACATAAAGATGCTTACAAGATAAAAATATAATATTAAAATAAACATTGTTAATGAATGCATTATTTAATATTCATTGTACATACAACAGCGCGCCGTTCACAGGGGAATGGTCGGTAAGCGAAACACATTCGGCTTTATGGAGGCCCGTCGCTAAGCGATTGGTCCTTAAGAGGGGCTCTACTATATTCGATTAACGATAATTTCAATTCACGATGGTTTTCGTGGAACCCATTAATATAATTAAGCGAGGGACCACTGGATAGAGCAGATGTGGGTCTTGGGATGCGTGTGAGCAAATGCCCTCACACATTTCGCTGGCAAACTTGGCACGGTCAATAAAGCACCGTCTTTTTTGATGAGATTCCACAAACGTCACTTTCGATTCTGGCACTTTCATCTTGGGCCTTTTGCAAAACACAATCTCCAAACAGTGCCTTTGACTTGGGCAGTTGCTCAACTCCATTCCCTGCAAAATACAATTTCACCTTAACTAAGCTTGGACTGGGTTTTGTAGGGGCAAAGGGGGGCTTTGGGGTCAAGGGTTATTCGACGTCGTGGCAAGTTAGATCGTTGTGTTTTGTGGCTGCGCTTGCGGTCCCGTCTTCCTCCACTCTGACGTTCGCTCTTGCTGCATCGCTTCATCGCTGTCCCCTCCCTCTCGCTTGTTGTTGTGGGGAGTAGTGGAGCAGCGGTTAGTGCGCCGCTCAACAAACCTGGCGGCCCGAGTTCGGTTCCTGCTCCCATCCACCAGAAACCAGTGACGATTATCTGGACCGGTCATGGGCCTCCCCTAGGTCGACTCAGCCTCAAATAAGTACCTAGTGCAGTGTCTAAACATTGGCACTAGGGAGACAAAGGCGGCCGGGCGTGGTGCTGGCCACCCACCCCGTGTGTGCCGTACTGGCCTTCGTAGGTGCTTGCAAACATCGCATGCCCCAAAAGTCTGTTAAGGCTACACGGGGGATCTTTATCTTTGTTGTTTGCTTGTTGTTGTGCTGCTGGCTGCTGTAGCTTGCAGGAAGATTCTAAATCCCAGGGCCGTAGTAGTCAAGGATGCGCGTGGCCACTGCGGTGCTGAATAGACCCATTGATATTAATTACTCGGCGTGTCCCCAGTAATTTTGAGCCGTTGATGCTAAATACATTGGCATGTACCACCAGCGGCGTATTTGACCGGCTCCTGACTGCTTCCTAATAAAGGTCTTGTCTGTCAGCTCCAACTGGTCAGGCCGACACAATCCGGACAATAGGCGCTTCCGTATGGAACAAGACTGCCAATTTCGATGTACGCACGAAAAGCAAGACTGTCCCGCCGTCCGACGTGTCCGTTTTGTGGCCGTACCTCCGTGCCATTTGGCGCGACGCTCGGACGTTTTGCTCCGTGCCGCTTTCCTTAAGAAGCTCCCCGAGCGTGTTGAGCGTAACGTCGGGATGTCGTGCCGAAACGGCGCGCCCCTGACCGACAGCGATCGGAGAGAGCCTACGCAGCAGCGCGACCGTGAAACGCCTACGCGGTCGCAGAGATTCGCTCCAGTTTGCGACATCAAAACACCGACCGATGGCCACCGATGTGGGCCTGCATTTTAGCTTTTCGCACGTCCCTCACGCTTGCTTTTTTGTTTGTACAGCCCTCGCCCCCCCCCCCCCCCCGCTTGTGTGCCTGCATTTTGGTCGAGGGCGAGCACTTTGCTGACTTTGCTGGCCAGCTTTCGAGAGAAAGCAGCTACAAATAAAGGCCGGTACTTAAGTAGGCACCATCTCCCCCCCCACAGTGTGTCGCATTTCGGCAGGACAACTGAGGCCATAGGAGACGAAACGGAGTCGGCAGGCAGGTGAGTAAAAGAGAGAGACACAGGCCTCTGGGGTTGCCGCTATATCATCTGTATCATTAACAAGACGATGTTAATTTTCACGATGTTGCGATTATCGCGATGTAATTTTACCCGTAACTCTGTAATTGTATTCTGCGGTTTTTTTGTCGGTTACTGATTTTAGTGCTGTGCTGTAACTTGCAGTGTGGTTCTCCCGTCAAATGACTGCCATAATCCTCGTGATACATTATTCGGCCGAAAACGCACATATGCTGTCGGTTACACAAAAAGACGAGTAGTTCAGTGAACTCGACTTACTTTCAATTGTCATGCAGGAAATCAAGCGCGTTGGCTTCGTAATGTAACTGTGTACTTGGAACTCAACGATTTATTTCGCACCTGTTCTTTGCATGTTAATTTTGTTCGCAAAAAAACATAGAGGCATAAAATGATGCACGAACAAAAATGATGTGAAGTTATTTTTGCTAAATGGGCGACACGATGACTGTGCAATGTATCGCGGAAAGCTTTCAGCGCCCAGGCTGCTGCGGTGGGGCAGGGGCAAAATCGGCGTGGAAGATGTCAATTATTCGATGATAAGGCACGGGTTTGCCTCGATGTAACGCCGTGCGCTGCGATACGCCATCAGTCTACACAATGCGATGCTCTCAAAATCCGAGTGATTTTGTTGCTCGCGCGAGCATTGAGGCGTTGCTCATCTCTTGTTTGTTAAAAGACCTGAGCTAATTGGCAGTGAAACTCCTGCGTTTATACGACAGGGCCCAGGCTGCTGGTAAAGGCGGTGTAGCATGACGCTTGGCAGCCCCCTTGGCTTGAGAAGTTAATTTCTCGTCTAAGCCTTTTTTGGCCGTCGCGTCGTAGCGTGTGTTTACGCCGGGGCGCTGTTCGAGCGCTGCCTCTGTTTGGCACTTCCCCCCACCACCACCGCTAGTGTTATGCAAGATTTAAAGAGGAAAAAATTATTTTGGTTTAATTCTTCCCCCTCAAGGGGGTGACCACAAAAATCTCCTTTGTGTTTTTTTTTTTTAAAACGTAGGGATAAGCAAGAAACGAGGGTTGCAGTGACTCAGCGGGCCATGGATTGAAGTTATTTGCTTGGCCAAGATGCGCGCGTCAAATCGCGCATATTTATGGTAACGTCCCGCTGCTGCAGAGCCCAAGTTTGTGAGCGGAAGGCGGGACCGCAAAATAAATAGCTGTGCTGTGCACCAATGTCTATGCTCCCCACCTTCACCAACCCACGCTGAGCAGTGTGGTCACGTGGCTAAATAACCCCCAAGACCGTTACGGCGTGGTGATGCCCTCATTCAGCAGTGGATTGAACATGATGCTGTAGATGTCCACGTGTGATTATGAAACTATATCCTATAGATGCATAAAACTAATTTCTACGTACACCATGGGTGCAAAATTTTATTGATTCGTGGAGCAAATCACGAATCCAATCTGTGATAAGGCCATCGAACGGTGGCAGGAATGAGTTCCTACTCCACCAACTCCAAATTCCATCACTGCTGAATCGATTTGACGCTTCCCTGTAAATGATGAGAAACTCATCGGACAAAGTACAGGCTGGAAACTAAACGAGAGCAATCGTCATGCACGCAAAGGGGGTGGTGTTTAGATGGCTTATTGTGACCAAAGCGCTGGTCCACCGGTCACGCCTTGTGTGTCACGTGACCTCGCCGTGCTGTCATTGTGTTTGTACCGCGAAATTGTGGCCATTTGGGACAGCAGCAGTAGCATAGCTTTCCGTGGTCGTAGACAGGTCATGGCGGCCAAAAGCTATAGGTCAAGTTTCATTTTGTTTAACCAGGGTGAGGACTCAAGAGACCAGGATATACAGTCCCCTTCGCAAGCGACCTGGGGCCTGACTGCCAGTAGTGGGGGGCGGGGGGTGGGGGGCGACAATTGCCATGAATCATCCCGGTTGAGGAATCGGCAGTGCAAATTTTCGAATTCGGGCGAAAATTTGGTCGGCTTGAGAAGGGCCCACGGTGTCGCCCAAGAAGGGACTTGCTGGCGCCCGAGTGCAACGGGAGCGTCGCTGTGTCTCCCCGGCGTTGCACGACGCAGGTTAAAGGAGGACGGCAGTGGCGGCGCCTACGACAAGGACTCGATGGCGATCATCAAGCTCAACAACACCACGGTGCTCTACCTGAAGGAGGTCACCAAGTTCCTCACGCTCGTGTGCATCCTTCGCGAGGACAGCTTCGAGAGGAAAGGTGAAGGGAAGCTCCCCCCCGCTCCCCCCCCCGCGCTGGCTCCTCGCCCACGGCTGGACGCATGACGCACGCCCACTCAGCCCTTGCTACGCTTTATCGGCTTGAAGTTCCACATTTATTTTGTTATTTCCCCCCATCCCCCCCACTTGTCCTTCCTTCCCCTGCACCTCCGATTAGCACGGTTAGCTATGTACGGTGCGAAAGAAGTTCAAGATAATACACAAACCGCACCTCCTATTAGCACGGTTGGCTACGTCCGGTGCGAAAGAAGTTCCTCATGATGCACACACCGCACCTCCGATTAACACGGTTGGCTACGTCCGGTGCGAAAGAAGTTCATCATATGTATGTACATGCAACCAGGTGACAATTCAAGAGAGCAGGATGAGTGCATGGACCTGGGTCACCAAAATGACAAAGGGCAAAGTCAGTCAAGCAGAACGACGAAGAAAATAGAAATCGGAGCAAAAACCACTCTTGTCATACATTGGTGAATTTTTTTTCAGTTTTATAGCCGCATGAGATGCCGAAAACATTGCACGAACAGAAATCAATGTTGAAAAATAAGTTTCCCTGCAGCGTGTATAGACTGATCAAAGTACAATTACCATCGAGTTAAAGAAGCATTAAACATATGTAGGGTGAATGTTGTACTGATATGTAAGCTGACCAGGATACATGTCGATTGCAAACTTTGAGAGAGTTATTGTTTGTAAGGAGGGTCACGATAACTCTTGTGAAGATGTTTAACATTCCAAAATTGGCCAAAATTAATTCATTACTTGGCTCGTCAATCATATGGGCCTAATCGACCCACTCCGCGATGTCACGCACTTGTGGCTGATGACGTCACATGCCGATGGTGAGTGTATCGGGCAGTCTGGGACAGTGTCTTGGGTGTCTCCAAAACGAGGCCCAATCTGTTTTTTTTACGGCCGCAGTTTTCCCGTACCAGGGATCTCACCATGGCGTAGCAGTCCGCACACCGCACTTTGGCGGTCCAGAGTTCGCCGGTTTGATCCTATCTCCTGGTTGCAGCAGTTGAAACAATGAGGAAAGTTTTGTTAAAAAAAATCTCCAGCGACGCTTGTGTCCACTCAGCGTTATAAATGGGTACACCACGGTTAGTCTGTGATCGGCAGGTCGCGTGTGATTGGGGTTAATTGTGGGTACCCCAAACCCTTCCAAGGCTTCTAACCAGCGTGGAAGAGTAAGGGGGCTCCCAGGAGCTCCGTCTAGCACGGAGACCCTTCTGCCTGCAGTGACGTGAGCAAGAAATTGCAGGGCTGCACTTTTACCTTGACGGATTTTTTGTTTTTTTTTATATTAAAATTTCCCTGTAACAGCCAACGTGTGCACGTGTCATTTCCCTCCTCCCGTCCCCGTTGGCACCACCCAGGTCTCATCGACTACAACTTCCACTGCTTCCGCAAGGCAATCCAGGAGGTGTTCGAGGTGCGGCTCAACTCGCACCGGACAAACGCGCACGGCACGCCTGAACTGTCCGACGGGAAATCCTTTTCGCACAACGGCATCGTGGCGTGACCCCCTGACCCCGGCGGAGATATCCCGCGACGCGACCGCGCCACTCGCCCGGCCAGCGCCCTCGGGGTCCAGACCTTCCCTCCTCCTTTCTACGCCGCTGTCACCACCGCCCCATGGCGACGAATCATCGGGAGGAACAGCTGTAGCGTCTGCAACTTGCGCTTTGTAAAAACACCGTCACCGTTTTTCTTTGTTTTGTATCGAGGCTGCGTGTGGGTTCATTTTTGACTCCACGCTTCTTTTCTGTACCACCACCTGCGCTTGGAAAGGTGGGAGGGGGGGTGGTGGGGAGGGGTGGAGATGGGGGGGGGGGCGAATGAAACAGGAATAAGTTAAGGCAAAAATAGTGTAACTAAAAGAAAAGAAATCCGTAAGTATTTTGATTGTAAAAAGCGCACGCGACTCTTCACTATTTTTCTGTGCTGCATAACAACACAACTCACTGCTGTCGTTGAGAGTAAAACCTGTAAATTATTAAGTTTCTTTTTTTCCCCGTTTACATATACGCGTGTGTCATTTAGTTTTCTTCTTCCCTGCAACTCGGGGTTGTGAGGCTTGGCGGGTTTGCCGATGCCCCTGCTTGTACAGCGTCCTCGATCCAAAGCCGTGGGCCCCCACACACACAGGTGTGCGTGGTGCCTCGATCGTTCTGTTGCTGTCCATGTCACACCGCAAGACACGGAGCGGTCAGCCCACTGCCCCCACGCGGCCATAGCCCGAGCGTGGACGTAATGGTGCGGGCCTCTCTGCCGAAGGGCTCCGCTAGAGTGCTCCTCCGGAGAGGTGTTTTGGCCTACTCTTCCTCGCTCCCCAGCAGAAAAGTATGGGGTGGGGGGGGGGGAATCTTTTGTGCGTTTTTCTCGTGGCCCTGTGCCCATTGAGGAACGTGTGACCGCTGAGCGGTCAGCCTTGGGTCAGCCTCGGGTCGGGGTCGGGTCGGAAGTTGCAGAGGCTTAAAAAGCTGGGACACCCGCTTTAAGATGCTGACGCAAGCAGGGAGGGCCGATGCAACCCGTGTGCTACAAGCAGAGCTTGGCGAGCAGCATTTGCACCGTTGACGCATAATCGATCGCCTTTTAAAAATAAATGTCATTTGAAGCAGTAAGGACGGCGCGCATGTTAGCCGCTTTGCCGACAACCGGCCAATTGCGGAATATAAGAATAGCATTGAATGTTTTTTTAAGGTACAGTTTTTTGTCAGTGTTAGCTACTCTTGATGTGCAAGGTTACCTGTTTTAACATTGATCCGGGGCGCGATGTGACACCATGCATTTGGATGCAATTGGAGCGCCGAGCCAGCCCGGCACGGGTCGCCAGGCGCCACGCTATTTTTCCACTGCAGGAGCCATTTCCTTCACCGCTGACGTCATCCGTAATGAATGCATTTAGTTGCGCGTTACGACAATAACGAGATTAGCTCTGTCCCTGTGGCCCTTTTTTTTCCCCGAGCCAGATTCGGGTGTCTTGCGAGACACCCGGCGTTTTTTTATGGTTTAGGCACTGCCCTGGCTGCCCGAATAGTCAGCGGAAAAACACCCCGCAACTGTTGAGGAGTGCCCCGCTCGCCGGCAATGGCTTCAGCGTGCGAGTGGAAAAATCGAGCGTGACAATGCCCCATGCCCAGTCGCAACGTCGTGGTCGTCGTCTCTCCGAGGCAGAAGGGTCGTGGGTGAGGCTTCCGGCACCGGCTACCAGCCACGGTGGGGCAGAACTGTGGGGGGAGGGGGTGGGGTGGGGACGACCGTCCCTTTTGCGAGTGAACAGTGGAAAGCGGTGGAGGGAGTTGTAGACCATCGTAAGCGGCCAGCATGCCCGAAGGTTTTTTGCGTGCCCCTGTGTTGGGGTGTCCAAGGTTGCGGACACGGTGCCCCTTTGCGTTGGCGATTTTTTTCTGCGCGCGCGGCCTGCAAGGCTGCCACGTTCTCGGGTGATCGCGTCGAGGCAAAGCAAAAAAAACGTGTCGGTGGTTTTGGTTGTGTGGGCACACCGCTTTAATTGAAGAAAGACAACGGAAAAAAAATGACACGTAGTCCTTTGTAGATACATACCCAGTTGGGTGATGTGTTTCCCAATTTCGGATTAGTACAAAATTTAATTGTGATTTACATACAAAGATTTGAATTCGACGTTTTACGATTGGTCCGGAAATGTGGCGTCCACGATAAGTCGTCACTGACTGTGGGCCGTTGTGTGCCGTGTGTTCCGCGCGGCGTTGCATGACGTCGTTTTAAAAGGAATCTTGAAACTCATCCCAAATACAGCGGTGCTATGAGTCTCGGGCTGTCTTGACGCAAGTTGTCCAAATTTTATTAAACGAACATCGACGAAAAAATCATTCAAAATCAGCAGCAGGACCCCAGCCATGTGACTGCAGGTGATAACGTCGACAAACGTGCACTATGCCGCATTGACGAACCTAGAGCCAACCTGACCGTGATGTTAAGTGACGTTTTCTCTAACTGACGCAGCTCCCGTTGGATAGCACAAGACGCACACATCTGCACAGTCCCCTTGCTGTTTTTTTTTACGGCAGTGTTTTTGTGATTTAAAATATTCATAAACCACGTGCGTTGTTTATTTTAGTCGACGGGAATGAAGATTCTCATGAATGACGATGACTGCGACTCTCCACCAATGACAGTGACTCTCCACCAATGACAGTGACTCTCCACCAATGACTGCGACTCTCCAATGACTGCGACTCTCCACCAGTGACAGCGACTCTCCACCAGTGACGGGGACTCTCCACCAGTGACGGGGACTCTCCACCAATGAGTGAAGCGTGACTTGCTGGTGACAAACTAAACGAGTCCGAAGACTCAGACATTTTTAATATGATCAATGTATTAGAAAATCTGGTGGACTGAGGAAGACTAAAAATAGCATTTGGCTTACTGTATATGTATATAAAAAGGTTTACGGAGTGCACTGATTGGTTGACCAGACAAAATCGGTGGGAGGACTGTTGAATTAGCTCAGACTTAAACATTGAATAACTGAACGTGGACCTTATTCGACGAGATGAAGAGTGACTGGATGACACCCACAGATGTTGCCATCGACTAAGGACTTCGGGCTGACTCGAATTAAACCTGATTAAATAAACACTGGGCTAGGTAGCAGTTGGTGTCTCGAGTTGATTGGCCGTTGTTCGCCAAGCCGGCGCACTATGGCCCGTGCACAGGGATGTTAGGGGTTGGCGGCTGCGATGCACGCGTGGTTTGTGAATCTCTTGTGGGCGAGTCTCGTGTGCGATTATTTATAGCTGCCTGGGGGCTTCGATGGGTTTCTGCCATCGACCCTTTCACTGGGAAAGAGTGGGAAACCGACAACGCCCGCGCACCGCGTTCGTACCCTCGCGGCAAACTGGCGCGACTTGTAAAGCTCAGTGCCGTGTAGGTTTTTCGCGTGTTGCTGTATAGCTCTCCAATGTGTTTCTTTTTGGGGGCGCCCGACGTTTCGCTCCAACCCCCGCTGGAGCTTCTTCGGCAACTGAACTCGGCTTTTCGTGTCGAGCTGAATTGAGGGTTTGAGTTTCTCCAAGCTGTGGTTTTAAAGTTTTGTTTTCGTTCTTCATTGAGGTTTTGCTACTTGCGTTGTGTAGCCCCCGAGACGCGCACTGCTTCATTCGGTTCCCCAAGGAAGTTCCTGGGGTACCCCGAGCGAAACGTCGGACATTGCGCCGAACAGCACGTGGCGCGACCCGAAAAAACGCGTCGGGAGAGCTTTCAAACCATTGCACGTGGGCGACTAAAAACGTAAACTCAAAGAATATTTTTACATACACAAGTACAATCGCTGCGCCCGCCGTCTTCACGTTTGGTCGAGTGGCTAAACTGAAAGTTCCACCACTGATTTTTGCAGCCTGCACAGACTTTTGAGCCATAGATGCTCTGACCACTCTGAATGCCTTCAGAACCTCGGTGCACACGATCAAGTCTAAAGGCCAGTGCACAAAGGTGAGTCGTGTATCGTTCTCTCGAAGGTGATCAGCTATTTTTGTACCCATTTGATTCGCACACATACGAATGAGTAAATCTTCTAAACGGGTTGTCGTATTGTAATGATAATAATTATGCTTTAATAAATACGTTTGAAATCGCTTGCTGCGTGTCCTGGCGTTCATTTAACCGTGCAGGTGAGCGGTGCCTCTGTGTGTCTGCCGTGTCATTCTGACTGCACGGATGGAAATTGCTTACCGCGCCCATGCTTGTCGAGAAAGCGATTTGATTCGAAAGGAATCGAGCGATTCCTTTTTGTCTGCTGGCCCACATTAAACCGAATTGCTTTCCAGCGGTGGACAAATAGGTTGGTGCGTCGTGCGTGATGAGAGATGTGAGATGCATCTGGCACATTAGCTTAAAGGATTTAAGATCGTGCATGCGACCAGGCTTTCGAGAGCATATAACCACGTATAACAAAAAACTACACGCACATCAGCACAGCAATGGCCCTTCGTAGCACATAAAGGCGGCCCACTGCTTGCAACGGTGCCTATTGTATACTTCACCTTTTAAGGGGACACTGTTAATGGCTGGGTTGTTTTCTTTTTGTAGTGATTCGTGCACCATTGCCAATGCAGCATTGCCGAAATAATGTTTTGAATAAAGGTCAAGGACACGGTTCCTCTTTCATGGGGCATTAATTCCTCTAACGATGCGTTAATCATCGCATCTCTACAGGCGCTCGTGTGGTTAAACAATTGACTCCTGCCTTGGTAATAGAGGGCAAAATATTACCATCTATTAGCTTTTGATTTGTTACTGATATTTTTCAATGAAAACTTGTGAGTAATATGGATTTTACATTGGTGAGCTCTAACTTGGTTAAATAAGGATGCTGATAACGCCCACCCTAATGGGCTTTTCGGCATCAACCGCATCCCATCCACTGCAGGGTTGGAGGCACCCAAGGTCACGGGTCTCCGACTGCAACCATCCGTCTGTCGCTCCTGCGCACGAGTAGACCACGCCGCTCCATCTCCGCAGCTGACTTTTCTCGGCCGTTTTCTCCTTGGCCTGCGATTCCTTGATCAGTCTTGTCCATCAGCCATCATCCCTCCGAGTGATGCTTCTCGCTTAAGCCAGCTTTTTGTTTGTTAAGTCTATAGTGTCTAATTATGGTTTCTGTACTTACGTTTATACGTAATTTTAAACACGTGCCCTTCCCCCATGCTGCTTTGCACACTTCAGCGTGTATCCCTTTTGTCAGCGTGCATGTTTTGCATCCACGCGTAATAGCGGTCAGTAATAAAGCATCGGAAACTTCATTTTTTGAGACGCGTGGCTAAAATGTTGCATTTCGTGATCAAGTTTTTTTTTCCATTGCGTATCTATCTGCTACTTCCTGTCCGCATCCTTAAAACCTTCACCATCCTTCCCCTCCCTCGCCTCGCCGGGCCTCTCTTTCCCTATCATCATCCTCCATTGACATCCCTTCCTATCCTCCCTCTCCCTACCATCACCCTCCCTTGCCATCCCTTCCCCTCCCCAACACTCAAACCCCATCCCTTTTCCCCATCGAGCTAATAACTAATTTAAAATGTGTAATTCTTGTAAAGCGCTTTGATAAAAGCGCTTCGTGAAATCCAAGATAAGTTCAGGTTTTCCCAACAGTACCGCAGGCTGCTCAGTGTCCTGACCCTGATTTTGTCCCACCTTTAACTATTGTCCTCGGTGTGCGTTTGACGCATTTTGCAGTTGTTGTGTTCTTTCAACAAATGTTTATCTGGGTGGTAGCGGTATTGCCACGCGTGCCTTTAATCCAGCGCCGTGGAGGCAGCGAGGGTTGTTGGATCACGCACAAGTGTTGTGAAACTCCCCGTGGGAGTCGGGGTACCATACCCGGGCTCGCCAGAAGAAGGCAGTACAGCAAATTGCCTAATCGCCATCTGTTTGCATCTGTACGGGGATAGAGTGTTTCTCCCTCGCGTGCGTGGGGGTTTCTTTGGGTTTTCCGGTTTCCTCCCACTTGTATAATGAACGGACATTGGCTGAAAACATCTTTAAAACCCAAATGCAAGACCCTCCTGAAAGAGCCACATGCCTCAGTTTGGCGTTCCTGAATAAATAAGTAAATTATGATATTTAATTAGATTCAGCAGGGGGTTTCCGCTATTATATTCCTCTTAATCGCAGGGTAAACATTTGTGCATAATTAGAGGGCGTTTTGCAGATCCAACAGCTGCTGCGGGTAATAGGGCTGCAGAGAAGGGGAGTTCTGTAATGTTGCTGTGGTGATGTCATATCTGCTTAAATCACTCCCTTCTTAAAATGCATTTAATTCTCCACGAAATCTCCGAGTAAAATATGTTGTATTTTTGTTTTACGATATGTTTTATATAGATGTATGTGATGCGGCCCTTTGGTTTGCGAGCGCTTATTGCATCAATTTCCTCTAGGCTGGTATGCAGGGGGTCGTGGGTTCCATCCTGACCCTGACGCCTGCTGTATATTTGGAGTCTCCATCTCTCTCTCATCATCATCACGGTGGCTAGGAGATGTTAACTCCCTCGCCTGGTATACAGGAGGTTGTGGGTTGGATCCCCGACCCTGACGTCTTTATATTTGGAGTTTGCGTGTTCTCCCTATGGTCGAGTGGATTTTTCTCCGCGTCTCTCCGGTTTCCCCCTCCACATTTAGAAAAACGTCCGTTTAGACTTTAGAGTATTTGGCAACCGCTATAAATTTCCACACGATAAGCCACTTCGTTGAGTTATCATTTGTGATGGCCAGGTCGCGTCTTTAAAAAAAGAACTGGAATAAAACTTGATTTGAAGCTTTCGTGACTGCAGGAATTACTCTGTGGTTCTTTCGGTAAAGCCACGTAGAAAGAAAATAAATTAAATAATAAAGTGCGACGTTTCTATTGCAACACAAGCGATCGTCATCAGGTAGAACTAAATTTGAGAGAGAGACAAAACACTGACACACAGACACAGAGACACAACATAGACATACAGAGACCCAATGCCTCTGTATCGAGGCCTTAAATAGAGGAGGGGGGGGGGGCATTGGGTCTCTGTGTGTCTATATTGTGTGTCTCTTTCTGTCTGTGTTGTCTCTCTCTGCTTGTGTGTCTGTCTGTGTGTCTATGTTGTCTCTCTCTGTGTGTCTGTGTTGTCTCTCTCTGCTTGTGTGTCTCTCTCTGATTGTGTGTCTGTCTGTGTGTCTATATTGTGTCTCTCTCTCTGCTTGTGTGTCTGTCTGTGTGTCTATGTTGCGTGTCTCTCTCTGTGTGTCTGTTGTCTCTCTCTGCTTGTGTGTCTCTCTCTGTGTGTCTATGTTGTGTGTCTCTCTCTGTGTCTGTGTTGTCTCTCTCTGCTTGTGTGTCTCTCTGTGTCTATATTGTGTGTCTCTCTCTGTGTCTGTGTTGTCTCTCTCTGCTTGTGTGTCTGTCTGTGTGTCTATGTTGTGTGCCTCTCTCTGTGTCTATGTTGTCTCTCTCTGCTTGTGTGTCTGTCTGTGTGTCTATGTTGTGTGTCTCTCTCTGTGTCTGTGTTGTCTCTCTCTGCTTGTGTGTCTGTCTGTGTGTCTATATTGTGTGTTTCTGTGTCTGTGTTGTCTCTCTCTGCTTGTGTGTCTGTCTGTGTGTCTATATTGTGTGTCTCTGTGTCTGTGTTGTCTCTCTCTGCTTGTGTGTCTGTCTGTGTGTCTATGTTGTGTGTCTCTCTCTGCTTGTGTGTCTGTCTGTGTGTCTATGTTGCGTGTCTCTCTCTGTGTGTCTATGTTGTCTCTCTCTGATTGTGTGTCTCTCTGTGTCTGTCTGTGTGTCTATATTGTGTCTCTCTCTGTGTCTGTGTTGTCTCTCTCTGCTTGTGTGTCTCTATCTGTGTGTCTATATTGTGTGTCTCTGTGTTGTCTCTCTCTGCTTGTGTGTCTGTCTGTGTGTCTATATTGTATGTCTCTCTCTGTGTCTGTGTTGTCTCTCTCTGCTTGTGTGTCTGTCTGTGTGTCTATGTTGCGTGTCTCTCTCTGTGTGTCTATGGTGTCTCTCTCTGTGTGTCTCTCTCTGTGTGTGTCTCTCTCTGCTTGTGTGTCTGTGTGTCTATGGTGTGTCTCTCTCTGTGTCTGTGTTGTCTCTCTCTGCTTGTGTGTCTGTGTGTCTATATTGTGTGTCTCTCTCTGTGTCTGTGTTGTCTCTCTCTGCTTGTGTGTCTGTCTGTGTGTCTATGTTGCGTGTCTCTCTTTGTGTGTCTATGTTGTCTCTCTCTGCTTGTGTGTATCTCTCTGTGTCTGTGTTGTCTCTCTGCTTGTGTGTCTGTCTGTGTGTCTATGTTGTGTGTTTCTCTCTGTGTCTGTGCTGTCTCTCTCTGCTTGTGTGTCTGTCTATGTTGCGTGTCTCTCTCTCTGTGTGTCTATGTTGTCTCTCTCTGATTGTGTGTCTGTCTGTGTGTCTATATTGTGTGTCTCTCTCTGTGTCTGTGTTGTCTCTCTCTGATTGTGTGCCTGTCTGTGTGTCTCCGTGTCTGTATTTTGTCTCGCTCTCAAAGTTAGTTCTACCTGATGACGGTTCCTTGTGTTGCAATCGAAACGTCGAACTCTATTATTTAATTTATTTTCTTTCTCCGTGACTTTACCGAAAGCACCAATGAGTAATAATCGGCATAGCTCAGTGGGCCTTACCTGGTAGAAAATAAAAAGTTTAGTTATAGTATAAAGGAACTCAATTATGCAATCTCTATGAGGTCAATAGCGAAGGAGATTGGTCTCCACACTCGCAAGATTAACAACATTTAATAATTATCATCAGGCCTCGTGGTGGAATGTGCAAGTCTCTAACTGTGATCCACTCGTCTCTCTGTATGAGCTGTGAAAAAAAGGGCCATTAGTCCGACACGTCGCCTATCATATATGGTTCTATCTTATTATTGTAACGATAACACGCCTGTAAAGCCCTTAGCAGTGCCCCGCCTTATTAACAGACCAATTCAGACCTTCTTGGTCAACCCGTGCCCCTTATAAATCTCAACGTTCATCCTACAAAGCCCCATCACAAGGGAGAAACACAAAACTGAGACACAACATTTTGTTGTTATTGTTGTTGTTGTTGCCCGTATTGAAACGCCGTGTGGACCTGCAAACTCAGTTTCCCTGCACAAGAGCACGGAGTTGTGAACCCTGTGGGTTGACACGCGATGCAATGAAACAGTGTCACTCACTGATGGATCAGTCGAGATCAATTGCTCATTAGCATAATGGGCGTGGCATGAGGGTGACGTCACCTCGCGAGTTCGGCACGCCGGCTCTTCGGTGGTTTCGGGTTCGTCGTCCCGTGCGTGTCTCGCATTTATTACTTTACGTTAACTTCGCCATAATTAAAGTGACGGCGATTCCCGGCCGTCGGTGGCTGCGTGTGTGAACCTCGTCAAGGAGTTTCGTTACGGAAGTCGGAGAGGCCCGGTTACCGTGGACGGATTGAGAGCGACTCCCGCGGGGTCCCGGGGAGACCGTCCTCGACTAGTTTCCCTGCCGGGGGGAGACGCCTCACCTCCCGCCGGGACTGCCCGCGCCGAAGCGTAGGCCTCACCGACACCGATCCTGCGCGTTGTTAATTACTTTTTTAAAAAACACATTTAACGTCTGCTGAGTTGGTGAGAGACAAAGAGGGCTTGTTTTTGTGGGGCTGTTATTATAATGTGTTATAATGCCGAATTTCGGAGTTTCCCTACGACAAACAGCAATGTTCAGCCCTGTCCCGCCTCGACATCGCGTTCCGTTCGCGACACCGATTTAAATATCGAATCCCTCGAAACGATCACTTTGCTTTTGCAAACTTCCACTCTGCATTTGATGACGTTCGGTCAAACTCGTTTACTGCGCATCGATTAGCGCGGTTGACAACGTACGGTGCGAAAGAAGTTCAACATATATCGGAATCTGAATACTTATACCGGAGGAATCCGATGAGCTATGAAGCTCTTCTTTTCCCACAGATGTCCAGTAGATGGATACATATGTACACGTCTCGGAAACGCGACGTGATTATCACGCGAATGTTTTCGAATCTACGTGCTCCTCTCTGTATCGAGTATATTTACATAATATTTATCCATTTACATCCTGTAATTGGCGTTATATAATCAGCATCATGTATTGAATCGTATAATATTACGTAATATTGACTGTGTCGTGATCAAGTCTTGAGGTGGAGAATTGTTCTCGTTTGTGTTTTTGAAGACTACCTTTGATAACGACAAGAACCATTAAGCGTATCTGTAAATGAGGAGAAACCTCATCATAACTGAGTAGTCAATCTTTAAATTAAGAGAACCCTCATCACAGCCAAACAATCAAACGTGTAAATGACAGGTAACCCCATCATAACAGAGAGATCAGATCCGTAAATGATGAGAAACCTCGTCATATCAGAATCATCGGTTCGAGTCAAGCAACATACCAATGGGCCTGACTACGTTTTCAGTCGGTGTGTATTAAACTATTAATACAGTACCGTATACCAGTACCGGCTGGGTCACGTAGCCCGCATTCCCAGCCACCGCGTGCCCAAACAGCTTTTGTTCTACCGGATCGAGGGGGCTTAACAGTGAGCGGCACGGGCAAGAGAAGAGATGGAGTGGTGTGGTACAGGAGGACGTGGAGCTGAGTGGACTTGCCGATGACTGGTACCAGCGGTGTCAAGATCGGCCTCTGTGGAGGAGGCTCGTGAAGGACGCTACTGGGCAGTTGGAGGCAGTCGCCCTCCAACAACAACGGAGGGCGGAGGAGCGACGCTCAGAACAACGCGTAAAGCGCCGGGCGGATAAAGCACAGCAAGTTGGCATCGTAGGGGGCACAGGTGGTGCATCAGCCAGTCATCTCAGTCAGTCGACCCGTGCCACCTGGGTCTGCCCCGTGACCTCCTGCCGGCGGACGTTTGACACTTAACGTGGCCTCAACGTGCACCTAGCCTGGCACAAGCGTCGTGGTGACGTCACGGCCACTTAGTGGCAAATGGCTTTTGTTTTGTACCAGCTGTGACATAGACCAGAAGAATGATAACGAACAGAGAAAAGGAAGCTAAAGCTAAACGGTGCGAGATACTTGGCACATTTTATTTACAGAGAGGCAGAAAGAGGAACAGATTAGCCGAGTACAAACCCGTGTCATCTCGTTTACCCCATGCAATACTGTACAGTATGGAATCACACATGTACTTTGAGGCTGATATAAATGCACCTGTGTATTTGTAGAGCGATTTTATCCACTGCTGGATGAGAGCCTCCCACGCCGTGCGGCTCGTCAGGGTAATTTTATCATACTTCACCGGACTGGTCAGTGCGGGATGGTTGAAAATCACTTGCATATTACCTATGTGGTTAGAACTACATCGCAGCATCTCCCCCCCTACTGTGATACGACTGCAGACTAGAATCGTCTGTAAAACATGGCGCCTTCTTTATGGCCTTGCACTATAAGAAGAGCATGAATACCACGTGTGTTAAACTTTTTATTTGATGGCAATAAGGATAGACGTGGGAGCATAGAAGTACATTACAGCAATTGATTTGTTTGTGCACCGCCACGTAGCCACTGCGCCACCCCCTGAAAAATGATAAAATTTACCATCGAGGAAGGTACCTTCATTCGCCTGGCTTTCCCAGCTTACCCTGTTTAAAAAGCCTTCTCTTTCCTAGCAAGCATGCCCTTGGCCAAACACTCCATACACTCCTGCTCTAGTCACAGTGCCACCACGCAAGTGCTTCATTTTTGTTGTCGCTTAAGTAGACACCCACGTTGCATTGGCTTGCCCAGCTCACCTACCTACACCTGTTTGCTTTCCTTGCTCTCAGGGACCATGTCCTCGGCCACACACTCGTGCGTCATCTGCGGCGAGGTGGGGCTGTCGGCGTCCGAGGTGCAGACGCACTTATTCATCCACGCCGAGGTCTCCCCCTCGTGCCCATTCTGCTCCCTGTCGGGCGTCTCCCTCGACGAGCTCCACTTCCACATCGCCGTGGCGCACACGGAGACGAGCGCGAGCGCTGGCGCGCCCTCGCCGTTGCCTCCGCCGCCGCCACCCGCCAGTCGGGAAAACGGAGCGCGGGGTGGGGCGGATGGCAGAGAGGCTGACGATGCGCTGAGTTCGGCTCGACCGGCACCTTCACAAGGCCCCTGGAAGTGTCGCAGTCCCAGCGGCGGCCAAAAGGCAACATCCTCGCCGGACGGTGCCGACACGGCCGACGGCGCTAAGCCAGTGGTCGCCGCACGAGCCGCGGACTCGACCCGTCCCCGTGGGGAGAAGTACGGGAGCTTCCCGGGCAGGCTCGAGGAATCCCGGAGTGAACGGTGGCGTTTAGAGGGCGGCGTCTCTGAGCGTGGCCCCAAGGAGGCGGAGGCGGAGGCTCCGAGTCCCTCACGTTGCAGACGAAAAGGCGTGGAGGTGCGTTGCTGTGAGATCGTGGTTCGTGTGAAATTGTTATGGGAGTTGACTCTGTTGTTTTTACGTGCGGCCTTTTTTGTCAACTCACTGGTTGATGAGGGCCTCGCCACGCCATGCGGCTCGTAGTTATTTTGATATCATACGTCACCCCACTTGTCAGTGCAGGTTGGTGAAGGCAGGAAGCATCGACGTCAGGACAAAATAAGTTCTTCAGTGGGTTTTGCTGCATTGATCTCAGCTGCTCGCAACGTAACCCCACAGCAGCCAACAACCAATTTGGCAAATTATAAAATCACCATCAAATTATTCAAATCGCAGTTACACCCAGCAGCAATCATTGCCACCTACTCGCAGGTGCTGAGTCACTTTGTTGCACACATTTCATTTAATTTATTTGGTATAGCTCTGTGAGCCATTCGGCTCTTGAATCGGGTGCAACCGCAACAAACAAACAAAAACATGAACAAGAAAACATCTTAAAGTGACTATGTGACTGTGCAAACAGAAAATCCAGGAAAAAAAAACAGCAAAATATTCCTGAAAAAGCACCATACACCAACGCTGTGTGCAAAAATCCCAGTGGGATGCAAGTCAAACAACAACAACAACCACAATACAACTTAGATTAAGGCCATCAGTCTAACTCCGTACTACAACAAACAAACATGGCCAAACCAAAATAAAGCCATAAAAGCAATATAACAGTGATCATAGGAACTGTGACCGAATTTTCACAATAAACGACGTAACATGTAACACCAAACCCTAGAGCCACAGCTGGCTGCATGAGTCACTCCACAACAACAGGAGCATCAGTCGGAGTATCAAATTTTTCAATGCACCTTTAAGATCAGCACACTAAATGAAAATACAGCTAATACTTTGCAGCAGTCATCCGGAGCGAAACATTTTATTTTATTTTAGGCAACTGAATAGCAGTGGCAGCTAGGGGTGTACAACTCCTCTAGAGCAGTTTTGAGTGAATATCTCATAGGTAGTGATTCAAGTTGCAGTTTATTGGCAATAGCATTCCAGACCCTGGGAGCATCAATAGCAAAGGCCCTTCCTCCAGTTTTGTACGGCAATAGGGAATGTGAAGCTGGTAAATGAGCGAAGACCTGAGGTCAAATTTGTTATTTGAAACAGAGAGGAGATCCAGCAGGTAGTCTGCGGATTTTTTTGTAAATACATCGTGAATAAATAAGATCTGGTGCACAAGCCGTCGAACATTAAGAGATGTTAAGTTTGACCCAATGTAGAGATCACAGTGGTGAGTCCTATATGGGCAGTTCAATGCAAATCTTAAGGCCGAGTGATAGATGGAATCAAGCTTCTTCAGTACAGTACTTGGGGCGGATTTATACACGATGTCACAGTAAATTTTGATTTAAAGCTTTCGTGACTGCAGGGATTCATATTCTTGGTTCTTTCGGTAAAGTCACGTAGAAGGGAAACAATAAAATAAAAATATAAAACAATAAAATTCTCACGTTTCGACTGCAGCACAAGCAATCATCATCAGGTGTGAAAACCACAGCAACAAAATTTGAAAAAAGTGGCGTTTTTTTAACGTTAGCACCACAGAGAGCGATTTGGCAGTTATTCAGAAGGACAAGTCCATCTACGTTCGGAAAAGAGGAGGGGGGGAGACGAAAATAATGGATGCGGTCTGAAAGCCACCGTAAGTGTGAACAATCAGTTAAGACCACCGTGCATTGATTGTTCACGTACGTCTCGTAGGACGTACGCGTGGAGTGCCCGTTCTGCGGGCTGAAGGAGTCGGGGGAACAGCAGATCCTGCAGCATTTGCAAAGTGTCCACGCAGATGCCATGGACACTCCTCAGAAGGCCGCGTCACGACCGCCAAGTCAAGGTACCGGAGGTTTAAAATGCCTATGACGCCGATGGCAGTCGTAATTAATACAAATGTGAACGTGCGATGCGCCGCACAGCATTCGCTCGCTCTCTAAGAGACGGATAGCGACTCGTAGGTGCCGGGAACCACAGACAAGCAGGAAGGGCAGCTATGCGGTGAGCCGGTGCCAACAAATTGCCTCAGATCTGCGGTCCTCTGTCTATAAAGGTGTTATCAGTCAATTAATAAGCATTTGCATGTGGGAAGAAATCGGAGCGGCCGGAGAAAACCCACGCATGTGAGGGGGAAACGCAATCCCAAACAGATGGACACAGGTGGAGTCCGCACTTTGCTCCACCGCGTTCTCGCCGGCGACCCAGTGTATGGCTCCTCCTTGACCCGCAGGGGAAGAGAGTTTGTCAACGTGTGTGTGCGACCCACCAACCCTCGCCGCCTCCACAGCGCTGGATCACGGGCGCGTGTCACCATCGCCCGGGCTCGCTGCTGCGGAACACTTCGACTTGTCTGCAACGATAGACCCCACCACTTCCCCCTGCGAGGAGATTTCCCTTCCTGTGTCTCGTGACATAGGGCTCCATGACGCTGGAAAATGAAGCCCATGGCATGATAGGTAGGGGCGGTGACGTGGACCATTGGAAGCTCGTTTTGGCGCTCCCTGCCGAGGTTTGTGGTCTGAATCAGGCAGGCTTCCCCCGGTAAATGATGCGGGGTGTATTAACCGAAAAAAATATGCGTACATCTGCCTCACACGGTGGACGTTATAGATCCCACGACGTAGGCCATGTGTGCCGGCATCTTGGTCAAAACCTGCCAAATTTTAGATATTTCTCGCAATGCCACGTAGCAACATTGTCCTCGGAGCTAACCTTGTGCCGCACAAGGACATCTGCCACCAGGGGATCCCTCTCGGTCAAATTAACCCCCGCGATCCCTCAACAGCACGGGGAGGTCCTCCATCCAGCAGTGGATTGACAAAGAGGCCCGTGCAAAGAGGCCGCTTATTTCCAGGGTCGGCGGAGAGTGTCTGGCGGCCGGCCATAGGGGGGTGCTTTCACAAGCGGACGCGTTGCCCCGCGGACGCGTCTCTGTAGGTGGGGAGCGGAACGTGGGCAGGGCCGCGTGTCCGCTTTGCGACGCCACCCTCTGCTCGGAACGGGAGCTGCAGCTGCACGTGGAACAGCATTTCTCCGGAGGTTCGTCACCGCTTCACCGGTCACCGATTTTTAGATGCGGAATCGGTTTTCGATTCCAAAAGCTGGCGTGGTAATCAATTATAATTGATCGAATTTTTTGTTTGTAACGATCGGACCAATTGGCACGCGAGAGCACGTGCGCATGCTTCTACGTGCGTGCGTCGGTGCGTGCGCGTGTACGTCCATGTGCGACAATGCGAGCTTGTGTACGCGCACGTGTGTGGGCTTTTGCACGTGCGAACGTGTGTTTGTTTGTGCATGTGCGCACATGCGTGTCTACACTACACCCCCAGAGGGTGCAGTGTAGCGGTTAGCGCTACGCTCAGGCGGCCCGAGTTCGATTCCCGCTCACAGCCAACACCAGTGACGGTTATCTGAACCAGTCCTGGGCATCCCCTTGGTTGACTTGGCCTCAAATGAGTACCTGGTGTAGCGGTGGTGTAAAAACATCGCCACTGGGGAGGGCAAAGGCGGCAGGGCATGGTGCTGGCCACCCACCCCCTCGTGTTGCCGTGCCGGCCTTCGCAGCTACTCACTGACAGCACTTGCCCCCACAGTCTGTTGCAGGCTACATGGGGGATCTTTGCCTTTGTGCGCGTGCATGAAATGCGTGTGTAAACGTTCGTGTGCACTTTTGCATGCCTGTGTGAACACATGTGTGTGTGTGCGTGCGTGCGTGCGTATGTCCCGGGATACAGGCGAGGCTGGCGTACTGGAGGATGAACTGCTGGCCGAGGCGCTGCAGAACGAGGAAGTCGTGCGGCGCCAGGAGGAAGACCGGCGAGAGAGCGAGGAGTTCCGTCGCCTGCAGGTGTGAACGAGCGCGGGCGTCAATCGCGGAGGCAGCGGCAGCACAGTGGGATACGGGGCGGGCCGCGCCGCCAGCCTTAAGCCCACTTCACCATTGCACACAAAATGCTCGCCGCTAATGAACCACGGATACCTCGGTTGACCTCGACAAGGAGCATAAATCATCATCACGCAAAACTCCGGTCGTCCTCGCGGCGGCTTCAGGCCAACCATGGAACAAAGACGGTCACTGTACCGCGCGCTTTCAGATACGCTTCCGTGGCTGTCTGGAACACTCTTCCTTCAAACAAAGCCACTGGAGCTGTGCACTTTTACATCGAGATTTAAAACCAATTTCTTTAAGAACTGCTTTTCGTGTTTAGTTTATTGTGCGTCCCCCACACTTTGGAAGAGCACGGCTACGTGCGGTGCGAAAGAAATGTTATATACGTAACTGATTTCTACTGGCCTACTTGACGAGACGTCGCATTGCCAGCATGGCAGAGAGGAAAGAATGGTGCCTGGCGTTTTGTTATAGTCTCATTTATTCCCCTCTGTTGGTAACTGCAGTGGTTGGCAGCCCATCCTATGCCACTCACCTGAAACCCGCCACTCTAGAAATTTAAACCTCATTTGAAAAAAACTACATCATAAACTTCAAAATAACCCCTCATTCATTAAGGAGTTAGGTACATAAAAATGCATGGGTGTTTCAAAAAATGTTAACACTTATATGGGACTATCATTTAATGTGAAAAGAAGATAATACACTGTAACATGATAACAAATGTATGTTAATAGCTTCAAAAAGCCAGCCTCCACTTGTTCGCCGTCGTTGTCAACGCGTGCCTGGAATCCTCTCCAGGTGGTCTCCAGAGCCTGGAGGCACATTTCTTGTGGTTTTGTTGCAAATTTCGGAAGTGTTAACATTTTTTTGAAGCAGCCTGTATATGTACATAAAGCCGAGAAATTTCCGGCAATCTGAAACACATTTCTCGCAATCTAAAAAATTATTTTGTTTCAGATTTATCCAAAATCGGAAGTGACCTAACTTCTATGACATCATCTGAGTGACGTCTCGTGGCATTCGGTGATGTCCCTGTTGTTAGCACGAAGGATGTATTTTTTATATTTGGACGTGGTTGAAATAATCCAAAATCGATCCGAAATTTTCAGGAAGTGCAATCCATCACTCAAATCACCAAACAATTCCCGATACGCATGTTTTTCTGGACGCACAAACGAAATCCATCTGGCGACTCCAGACGCCATCATTTTGCTTTCCAAACTCAACGTTGAGCCATAAACCCGGTCCGTTGAATTCTAAATTTCCATTCGCAAAAAGATTTGGTCAGTGAGGTGTTACTGCGCCGTCACTCCAATCGTGAATACGATACTGCCCGCGAAGGTCCGTGGGTCCCTTCCCTCTCGCCTGGATATCTGCGAAACCTCCTGGACATCTGTGGAAAAAGAGCTTTATAGCTCATCGGATTCTTCCGGTATGAATAAATATTCCAATTCCGGTCGACCCGGCCAAAGTGGGTACGTCGACCTCGCGGGGGGTGGGTGGGGGGGGGGCGTGACGTGGGGCCGCGCCAGCGCGCCGTTGCCACCGCCGCCTCAACAAACCGCGCCGTTGTGCCCGCTCGCCGTTGTGCCCGCTCGCCGTTGCGCCGCGCGTCAGCGCGAGCACGGCATGGACGGGCGCGGGGGCTTCGCGCGCCAGGCCCAGCGCAGCCTGGAGAGAGACATGGAGCGCGGCGTCATCTCCCCGCTGGAGCTCCACGAGCGCCGGGCGCAGCTCCTGGAGGGCCTCGCCGACGGCCGCGACAACGGCAACACTCGCACCGCCGGTGAGCGCCCGGCGACACCGCCGACGCTAAGCACGCGGCGTCCGGCGGCGGGGTAGGCCAGACAGAGGTTGACTGTGTAACCCCTTCTTACCTGGTAATATAAAACAAGGCACCGCGGTGGCGAGATGTGAACTGCCTCGCCTGGTATGCAGGAGGTCTTGGGTCCGGTCCCGACCCTGACCGTGCTGTATATTTGGAGTTTGCGTGTTCTCTCCGTGGTCGCGTGGATTTTCCTCCGGGTCCTGCAGTTTTTCCCTCCACATCAGGCGTTTAGAGTATTTGGCTGCTATACATTTCCACACGATAAGCCACTTCGTTGAGTTATCATTTGTGGCCAGGTCGCTTCTGAAAAAAAGCTATGTCGCTCAGTGGACCTTACCTGGTAAAATATAGTACTTTTCTAATCAATTCTCATGCCCACGAACCATTGAATCGTCGATACAGTAAAACCTTGGATTGCGAGCATAATTCGTTCCGGAAACGTGTTTGTAATCCAAAGCACTCGTATATCAAAGCGAATTTCCCCATAATAAATCATGGAAACTCAGATGATTCGTTCCACAACCCAAAAATATTCATATAAAAATTATTAATACAAAATACCTTTTTATATTTTTATTATTTAAATTTAATATAAAGTAATCAAATGTATTAAATAAATGTAATCGTGGCTGGTGTGAGGGAGACGAGGGAGAAGAGGAGGAGGGTTATTGTGTAAGACGACTTTCACTTGCAGTACAGTTACTAAAGAACAGTCACTACACTTGGACACAAAATAAAAAAATGCTTAACACACACACGTGGTCACAACACTATAGTAAACAGTATACGCTCGCACGGATGTTGACTATACGAGTGAGGCACGCCGAGTGAGACCGAGCATGGGAGACGATGACCCACAATCCCGCAGCGAGAGAAAATAACCAACGGCTCAGTTGTGATCACGTGACGCTCAGCAGACAAAACGTATACTGTCCGTACTACTCGTATTGCAAGACCTCGCCCGTTTATCAAGTTAAAATTTCTATAAAAAATTGCTCGTCTTGCAAAACACTCGCAGACCAAGTTACTCGCAGTACAAGGTTTTAATTTATAATAATTGGTATATTTTTTACAGTTTATACGAATTATGAAACCTTCCCCGTTCCGATGACGTACGTTTTTCTTCTGATTACATTTTAAATGACGTATGTGTACATGTCCATCATTGGTACGGAACCGATGACGTACGTGTACGTCATCAGAACGGAACTGTAAGAAAAAATCAAATAACTGTATCGGTACTGAGGCTCCCACAAGGACATGCGGAAGCGGGTGTGGCACAGTTTGGCGCCAGCTATCATAGAGTGCGGTCGTGTCGCTACAGTTCTCTGCGGCGAGTACGGTGTCTTCAAGAAAACAACCGTGCTACGCCTCTCCAAATAAAATGAACGCTGAGCCGCTCGCATGTTCCGAGATTCGGCGGTGAACGGGACACCGCAGTCGGGTTACAGGAATGAACAAGACTTGAATGATTGGGGCAGAACGAACAAGACGGAACGACGCACGACGTTGAACACACGAGGAGGGGGGGCTGTTAGCCGGGCAACAATTCACCGATTTAAATCAACTCCTCCCGACGCACAGCACTCAACACGCTTGGGGGGTTAGGCATGGTGCCATCTCATTGTGCAGCTTGGAATGTATCATTAAGATGATTAATTAAATACTTCAAGCCTAGCGTTGTTAATGGGTGCACCACAGTCAGTCGAATTGGCAGGTCACATATGGTGATTAATGCTTGGATGCTCCCACCTCTTCCAATACGTCCATTCAGCGTGGAAGAGTAGACCAAAATACCTCATTGAGAGGCTCGCAAGAGCTCTCTCCGGTGGTGGCCCTTCCACCAGCGATGACATGAGCACGCAATTGCAGGCCTGCAGCTTCATCGACCTTTTAAATCCCTCCCGAGTACAAGCGCGTGTTAAGAATCTACGCCCGCGTTAAGAATCTACGCGTACGCACGAACGCCTCTGGTCCTGTGCTAGAAGAAGCCTTTCCCTCCCCCTGCCGCCCGGCACTTGACCGCGCGCACGGCGGGGATCCCAGGCCTCACGGCGGCGCTCGCACGTGTCTACGGCACGGGCGCGGCGGTGCGGGACGTGGCGTGCGTGTGGCTCGCTGCCGACACGAGCCACTACCGGGGCGATGGCGGCGACCGGGGCTGGGGCTGCGGCTACAGGAACCTGCAGATGCTCATGTCGAGCCTGGCGCGACTCGACCGCTTCAGCTTCCTGGGGCTGCAAGGTGCAAACGTGGGCATCTACCTCCTCCCCCGCGCGCCCTGGAAATCTGATAGTCGAACAGTTTATTTATTTATTTACAGGGTGCCTATCGCTCGAGGCGCAAGATGTGGTTTTGGGAAGAAGAAAAAAAACGGCGACAGAATGAAATGATGTAGGCGGCGTTGGGCGTGCTATAAGGGTTGAGGAACGAGTGACCGTGATCGAAGGGTAATTGGGGATCACGAGAGGGTATGGGGAAGGACGGGAAGGACTGGAGGAGCGAGGGGAGGGAAGAGAATGGGCAATGGAGAGTTAAAGTTGGGTTGCTTCCATAATTTTTTTGCCGTGCTATATATCGGAATTTAAGTGCAGTGAATAAGGGTCATTGCCCGAAACGTCGCCTCGTATATTTGTCCTCTTTAGGCAATGTTTTAACAAAGCCGAAACAATAATGGTGCGTTAAACGCTTGCACGCGTGACGATGTAATTTCTAGATTTGAAGCTTTCGTGACTGCAAGGATCCATACTCTTTGGTTCTATTCGGTAAAGTCACGTAGGTAAAAAATAAAACAACAAAAATCACGACGTTTCGGCCACAACACAAGTGGCCTTCATCAGGTGAAGGGGACCGTACTGTCACGAGGACAGCGTTGGAGTGAAGACCTGGGCTGGACTGTCTTCACTCCAATGCTGTCCTCGTGACAGTACGGTCCCCTTCACCTGATGAAGGCCACTTGTGTTGTGGCCGAAACGTCGTGATTTTTGTTTTATATTTTACCTACGTGACTTTACCGAATAGAACCAAAGAGTACGATGTAATTTGTTTGGCTATGTCGGGTGGTGGACGAGTGTACGGCACACTTTTGCTAGATCATTACATGGCCTAACCAGAAAAGCAAATGTGATGTTTCGTCGATTGACCTGGATAATGTGCAGACAGAACAAAGTTCCGCTTTATGTATGCGTCGTGGGTTTGTATACAGCTTAGTCCCACGAGGTTAAAGTTCATGCCGCTCCCCTCTCTGGCCTGGTTTGGCAGGCGGCGCCCGGATGCCGGGAATCCCGCGGCTGCAGGCGCTGGTGGAGGAGGCGTGGGAGCAGGGCTTCGACCCGCAGGGGGCCTCCAACTTCGCCGGGAAGCTGCGGGGCACGCGCGCCTGGATCGGCGCCACGGAGCTCTACGCCCTGCTCACCTCGCAGCGAGTGCGGTGTGTGCGGTGCGACCGGCAAAGGCCGGTTACACCGTGTTGTTTTATGTAGCTATGGGAGGGAAACCCATGCGGAGCAGGGGGAGAAAACATACAAACTCAACACAGAACGGCGCCCAAGTTGGGAATCGAACCCGGGCGATTCTTGCCGAGGCAACGGGCGTCACCGTTGCGCCAGCTTGCCGCCCTGCCGCCCTGCTTTGCCGTGTTGATTTGGGCGCCACGGTGGCAAGATGTTATCTCCCTCGCCTGGTATGGAGGAAGTCGCGAGTTCGATCCCGATCCTGACGATACCTGCTGTGTATTTGTAGTTTCCATGTACTCTCTCTCCCCGTTGTCATATGTATGTTTCTCAGGTTCCTCCAGTTTTTCCCTCCACATCACGCTTTTAGAGTATTTGACTGCTCTAAATTCCCACATGATGATAAGCCACCTCGTTGAGCCATCATTTGTGGCAGCCAGCTCGCTTCTGAATAAGAGCTATGTAGCTCAGTGGGCCTTACCTGCTAAAATAAAACATAGTTTATAGTTTAGTTTGACGGTCTCCCATCTGCTCCACTGGTCCCGCGTGCGCAGCTGTCGTGTCGTCGACTTCCACCGCGCCACGGGGGAGGGCGGCACCCACCCGCTGCTCTTCGCGTGGGTCACGGATTACTTCCGGGGCAGGGGTCATGAGAGGGCACCCCCGCCGGGTCAGCTCGTGGTGTCCACTCGGCTGCCTCCGCTCTACCTGCAGCATCAGGGTGAGACCTGGCGCGCAAACGAACATTCGCCAGCGTTCACGAACGTTCGCTGGTGATCATCATCATCATCATCATCGCCGCCGTCGCCACTTAATTCATTCCGCGCCACCGTCCCGTACATCTTGAGGCACGAGAGCAAAGGGCTTTTTGAGATAATTACTCACTGAGGAAGTCATTGTAGACGAAATACAATGTTTGCAAACAACGCAGTATCGACAATTTACACGTAACAAAATGGGAAAGCAAATATAATAACAAGCTACACTGTGCTCGGGCCTTCTCTGAATTGCCCACTTGGTACAGTTGAAGAGGAGTCGGAGGCTGGTTAAGCGCTTCTTTATTCTTTAAACCACAGCCACACTCGTTCCTAAAACCAACCCCGAACACGCGTTTAACAGCCCCTTTTTAACCCCTCCATCTCCGTCTCGCACGCCGAGTCCGTGTGACGTCAGTGCCCTTTAACCCTTGACCCCCGCCTAGTGTGTTCCCGTGCGTGTGATTGGTGTGTGCTATGCTGAGTACGGAGATTTCATGTCTGCGTGGTGCGAGTGCGTGAGGATGGCTCGCAGATCCCCGACACAGTCACCAATAATATTAACGTTGCTGATGATGATGCAATTGATGCTGCTGCTGCTGTCGATGATGCCGTTTCTGAGGTTGTTGATATCGCTGCTATTTGTCGATGATGTTTTTGCTTAGCATTTTCACACTGTTGTGAACGAGAGCCCTCCTTAATGTTCTTGACCTTTCTGACCTTGCTGTGCAGGTCACAGCCGCACGGTGGTGGGGCTGGAGGAGAGGCGAGATGGCACTGTGTGGCTGCTAATCTTCGACCCGGCGCACAGCGCGCAGACAACGGACCGGCTACTCCGTGCCGCCACCGGTAACACCGCCGTGGCCACTGCCGCCGTGGCCACCGCAGCTCTCCGCCCGTTCCGCCGGCCCCTCGGGGCCTTGCGGCACCGCCAATACCAGGTTCTGGCGGCCGAAACGACGGAGCTCACCGACGCAGAGAGAGAGGTCAGTGCGTACGAGACGCATAGCCACACCCCCCCCCTCCCCGACAGACAAGAGGGCACGGCCTTATAGGGGAGTGGGCGGTCAGAGCGGATGCCCAGGGTGAAACGCTAGGAGGGGTGCCAAATATTTATTCAGTATAAAACCGGGGTGATAAAGCTTTACCTTATTGAGCACCAAATAGGATTGTTTTCATATCTTTGAAGGGTAACTACACATTAACACAGATCTCAAGTCACTTCTGTCACTGTGAGACGCCCTTGCAAACTATAAACGGTGTTGTTGCCAGGTCGAAAATATTCCCCCCCAGCACCCGATTAGTGCGGCTAAGGTGCTGGCAGTGGTGGACAAATATCGGTTGTGGGCCGCTTCGGAGCGTTAAGGCCTCGATTCTATCTCAAGCCGTAAGAAACGAGGCTCACCGGGCCGTAGATTCCTCGCCCCTTTCTCTTTTTTTGTACGCGACATAAAAGCGTGAAACGTATATTTGGTTACCCCTCGCTAAACCGTTGCCATCTCTCAACAAATAACAACGCCCAGGGTTACCACCAGCGGAATATTTTCAAGGGGCGATTCGTCACTCGTCGTCGCAGTCCGGTCGCAAATCACTCCACCGATTTCTCTCCATTGCCCGCATCCCTCGCTGCGCACTCCCATGCCCGGCACGTACCAATTAAAATTCCCTCTCTCTGTGCCATCGTTGTATTCTTTGTTCTCCGTACGCAGGCTCGTCGCACGGCTTCCCAGGTTTTCGTGGCCGAGAGGATTCCCTGAGACACGCTGGTTGGGGGACTGCGTGCCGGCCCGCTCCCTGCCACCCCTACGAGCAGGGGGGGAACCCTCCAACCCTCCCGCCACCACTCGACACAGCCGAGGACGCCTTTGCCTCGCTTTGCTGCAAGAAGTCACGAAAGTTGACGAGACTAAAATGACGATGTCAGGATTTAGGACGGCCGTGGCGTCTGTGGGTAGATAGCCACAAATGCATTGCTGTTTGGATATTTGCCGCCTTTGTTCGCCAAACGTGTCTGGTGCCTTTTGTGTAAGGACAGGGTGGTCCAACATCGTCAAGTTAAGAACATTACAGTGGCTCGATTCATTGCCCTGCAGGTTGGGAGATCGTCGATTGAGGATCGGCCGCCAGGCTGATGGTGGCATGAGGTCGCGCTTTCTCACTTAACAGTGGGCCGGGTTAAGGCTGCCATCTTACACTCAAACATTACAGTGAGAGCTGCAGATATTCACCAAGTCTGCCCAGGGATTGATCACAGAATTTTTTAAAGCTTGCAATAAAGCGTTTTTATATTTTTAAAATATATTTTAAGTATGGTTGTGACTGTGCACAATGACGCCCGTGTGCCTATGCCAGGGTTCAGCCCGTCCTGTTAGTGTAGCCACACCATGTGATACTCATACCCAGCCCTGAGATGAGGAAAAGATTTAAAGTGGTGGATGATGTCTGATGACCGAGCAAAGCTGGTGGTAAATGATCATGATTAATGACCTCCGATTAGCACGGTTCGCTACGTACAGTGCGAAATTTCAACATCCATACCTGCATTGTGAATGTTGTGTTGTGGGTTTACTCTCCAACACACCCGTGTGCTGTACTAGTACCGAATTGGCACGTTTTGTCTACCTTACTAATTGGCTGTGTCGGGTGGTTTAGGGGTTTAACGACACATTTATGCAATCTAGCCCAAAAAAACCTGTTATGAACCTACATAATCGATTCTCCTTCCTTGTTTCTCCTCATGTGGGCCTGACCTCCCTGCGCTTCTTCTACACTCGCTCGTACTGGGCCATCATCTCCAACATCCAGTCCCTCGCATCCCCGACACACCACCTCGCTTCTCGGTCTGCCTGTCTCTTTACACCTTTTGATAATTGACGATTATGTTTCAGCGGTTTAGGGGAATTGAGACATCCCAGCATAGACGCTTGCTATGTCAAAAACAAATCTTTGCTGATGACGATTTGTAAATTTCGTTGGTATTTGAATTCATAAAAGGAAGCTCGATTGCCGTACCAGCCGTGCTGGATCTTGGCCCTGGCGAAGTCCCCATCGTTATCACCGTTGAGAGACGCTGTCATCACAAACGATTCACCCCCTCGTGCGTCGATGTAAAAATGTTTATTCCGGTGTTGCGTCGCTGGTTGTCACGATGGGATGCAAGGCGTGCACACGAGCGGGTGAATCGACGAGCGAGCTTCAAAATAATTAGGCCATTAATACTTTGTCATTGTGTGCACTACTGCGCTTGTCCGACGACAGTAATATTAGTGCCTGGAGGATTCCACCTCCCGCGTTGTAAAACAAAGGCAGGCAACGCTTCAAACGGAGCCTCGTGCATATGAAGCCGCCAGGTGAATGAAGACAAAAGAATCGACACGCTATCGTGGAGGCCTCTGGTACTCCACGGGACACGACATTGCACGCACGCAGCCAGTGTCGACAATCGCGCTCCTCCGACGCGTCGGGTAGGTAGAGTATTTTTTTTTGTAGTTTACTCGAGCGTGGGGGGCTCTCAGTTCTCGTCACTGTCCAGATCGGCGGGGTTAAAGGTCGGGTCCTCATCCTCATCGTCGTCTTCGTCAATGTCCAGGTCCTCCATGTCTTGGAAGAGCGACTCGTCCACCTCCACGTTGTCTCCTGCGCAGGGCGGGGGAGGGGTGCGGGTGCATGAATCCCACTGCTCACGGCTTCCGTGTAGCGCGGCAAGGAAGGAGGTGACTCGTGGCAACACCAGAAGCCACACCCGCACGCACGTGTACTATACAATGCGGATTTATATTGCATGGACATTTTCCCCACATCTCAAGGCACTGTACAGAAAGCTGAGCATGTTTGTTTTGTAGATAAAGAGGCGGTCAGAGTCTATCCGAGCCTGGGTCCTCGCGTGAGTCTTTACAAAACAATGTGAATTTACAGAGCAGCGTCTGAAGATGCTGGCTGGGGGAAAGGCGGCCCACAGAAAGCGGCCAAAACACCTCCCACGGAGCGAAGGCTGACTTGGAACTTAACATCAAGCACTGGGTGCGAGCGCACAGCCCGATCTGTGGGTCTTCCCTGCACCTCCGATTAGGGCAGGTGGCTACGTACGGTGTGAAAGCAGTTTGGCATACATTCGTACGCCTCGGGGTGCTGACTACCAGCGTTCCCATTTCTGCCGCACCACCCGGAGCAAATGAGTGTGTGAAATGAAAGTGGGTCCAAGACGCTGCCAAAAGGCACCGCCCTCGTACCTTCCTCCAGAAACTGCATGTCGGACGTGTCCAGGTTTCTGTCCGTCTCAAACAGCTGCTTCCCTGCGTTTCGAGAAAGAGAGATGGAAGTTGGCGCACGTGGGTCCATTCAAACATCAGCGGTTATACTCGAGGCTTATGCTAAAGCAGGGGTGGCAACCTACTTTCCATTCGTGATTATCCATCACTGCACAAGTGATCGTCCGTCACTGAAGCATATTAGCTGAACTAATTGTGCACGAGGCAAATATTTTCGACTCGACAACAACACACGCGTTCAAGTGACTTCTGTTAGCACAAGGGCCCCTCTGGGTAGATGGTCAATGCGCATGTTACTTTTCACTTTCAAAATTCATTGTGCTATACGTTGACGCTTCCACATCTGTGGTGCCTGCCTTCATCAACCAATGCTACGCTACATTCGTTTACTGAGCTAATACCGAATACAACATGTAATTGAGTCAAAATAAACACGATCTAACAGGCAGATATATACAGTAGACTCGATTATCCGCGTGCAGTTTATACGATTTGTGGATTAACCGCGCACCTGAGATTGACAAATTAATTACTCGTGGATTTTCCCTTTAGCCCAAATTAATCGTCTAAAAACAGTTATACATGTTATTCTTGGAAATGTTTATTTTAAGTCACGTGCTTAAACCGAACAAATATGTGCTCCAGTTAATCCTAAATCCATGTGATCGCCTCTACAGTACAGTAGTTGCATATCTTTACAACAGTGGGCGGAGTTTGATTGATGTTGATTGGCGTGGCTCTGCTATCACCCACTTAGTGGCCCGAGTCTTCTGTGTGGGAGCAGGAAAGTTATCACGGAGCACATGCGTCGATCGTTAGTATTCGTTCTAAATCGAAATCGTCAGTTGTGCTTACAAAAACAGAAATACCTATATTAGTGATTTTTTGGGATAGAGATCTGCAGAAAATTTATATTTTTTGGTTATCTGCCATTTTTTATTATTCGCGGCCGTCCTCCCCGTCATTAGCGCTGCTAATCGAGTCTACTGTATACGCAACTTCTGTAATGAAGCGTCTCGGCATGACCATATTATTCAACTCGCAAAAATATAAAGATGTAACAGGTAAAGGTGCAGCCCTGCAATTGGTTGCTCATGCCACTGCTGGCAGAAGGGGCCTCCACTTGAGGGAGCTCTGGAGAGAGTACCCTGCTCTGATTAGCCTACTCACTGACGCTAGGCAGACAGTCCTGGGAGAGATCGGAGTACCCACACGCTCCCCGGCCACATGCGGCAGACGTATCGTGACGATACCTGAAAGCTTCGATTTCCCAATTTGCTCCTCCTCTCGCAGTTGTTTCTTCTTTTTCATTTCCAACCTCTCTTGGTCAAACTTCGCCTTCCAGGAAAGGAAGTTTTCGATCGTGACTGGTGTGCCATGGAAGGTTACCTAGGGCAACACACCGGGTGGGCGATCACGGTATAAGATGCTGTGCTGTGACCATGTACGTATTTTTCGAGCGCTCTCTGATGTGTCTTTTCGGGTTGCGCCGCGTGTCCTCCGATGTTTTGCTCCACACGTGCTGGAGCTGAAGAATCTCGCACCACTTGGGAGTGAAATGTCGGACATCGTGCTGAATAACAGGTGGCACAATCCGAAAACGCATCGGAGAGCTAGGCGGCACAACGGTGGAAACAAAATGACATTCCAAACATTACCCGCAAATTGCTCATTTGGAATATAAATAGCGATCAAATGCCTCCCCAAGTGGCAGGACCCTCTGGGAAAAGAGTAATGATACTCAGTGAGGCTTTCCTGGGTAAACAAGCGTGATAATAATATTAGGTTATGACGAGTACACCCAAACCGCAAGCTAAACTTAAAAACGAAACCAGGTAAGCCCCACCGAGCTGTGTCGCTTTTTGCAGAAATGACGTGGCCACAAATAATAGCCCAACGAAGTGGCTTATCATGTTCAAATTTATGGCAGCCAAATACTCGCAACGCATGCCTCTAAATGTGGAGGGAAAAACCGGAGGAGCCAGAAGACCCGGAAAAAAATCCACACGACCACGGGGAGAACATGCAAACTCCAAATATACAGGCGTTAGGGTCGGGATCGAACCCATGCCCCTCCTGCATACTAGGCAAGGTAATTAACATCTTGCCCCCCCTGCAACAAGTGGAAGAGGCGCTCCCGCTTGGCCACGGCATAGCTCAGCTCTCGTCCGTACCTTTTCGGCCTCCTCAGCCTCTCGCTGTTGCCGCTGCAGGTCCTCCTCTTTGCGCACTTTCATCTGATCAACGAGCTCATTGAGTCGCTCCTGTACGGCGGATGCGAAGGTGAAAATCATCGCCATGCCCAGGTTCTCCGTGGCCTTGGTATTGCACACGTGACACACGTGACACACACAAGCGCACCGTCAAATTTCGGGCACAGCACCCAATTTCTTGGTTGAGGCGACAAAAATCTTCGCAAACGTTCGACTGAAGAAAACGCGTCGGCAGCACAGCTCCACCAGGCTGTCTTTGCACAGCTTAGTTGTGCAGTAAAAACAAAGGTATTTTTGGGTCATCGTTGGCCCTGTTCAAGCACAGATGTGCCAGTGGACAAAGAGGTGGGAGGTTCTGGGTCATCACTGGCACTGTGCCAGCGCCGACGCCCCTACCTGCTCCTCCAGCAGCCGTGTGATGTCGGCGACATCTTCGTCCATCAGGTTCTCCTGGCCGACCACCTCGAAGAGCGGAGGTTCGTCGGGGTACTTTTCCACGTATGTGAACTTGAGCGTGACCTGCACATCTGCGCAACGCAGCGCAACCGACGAGATTACGCTGGGTGCGGCGCGGTGTGGGTGGCTGTGGTTGGTGGCAGTTGATTAAGAGGGTTGGTGGTGGCAGTTACGTAGGGTGTTGAGATAGTGGTGGTGATGGTGGTTGAGTCAGGTGTGGGAGGTGTGGGAGAGGTGGTGTTGAGTAGGCTATTGGGATGGTGGCAGTGGGTGGTATTGGTTGGATTGGTGATGCAGGTGGTTGGGTTGTGGTTTGGTGGTGGTGACTGGGTGAAGTTCTGGGACGGTGGTGTCACATGGCATAAGTGACGTTACTTCGCGCGAACGCATTCATTTTACAAAACGTAAATGGTCGAAAATCCAAAACATGATAAGTCTTGAAAAAAACTAAAGATTTGAAATCCACAACCCATCCCGAGTGCATTATGAGTAATGTGGTCATACCTTGATTGCTGTCGTCTCCGATGTCAGAAGTCAGTGTTATCGTGAAGGCTGGTGGTGCCACTGTCAACACTGCCAAAGGGTGACAATATTTGTTAGCATGTACCATAGATTTTCAGAGGTTTTTTCCATAATTTTACTCAAATGGTGCTATTGCCATCAATTATATTCCTATTCAAATTCATACAACGAGCTGCGCACCTCCTTTTGTCAGAGGACAGCCCTGTCAGATGATCCATATAACCACTCTACAAGTATATCCAAGGTCATTTAAGCAGGCCTCTATGTTCACACAAGAGGCACACATATTACTTGCATGTCAAGCAAACCAAACCATTTGGTTCTCAGAGCTGGAAATGGATACTTTTGTGTGTGTAACTCACTTAACTGAAACCCCGGCCCGATTTGAACCCAGGACTTCGGTGGCCCTGGCTCATTATCGACAGGGCATTATCCCCAAGTCACCCAACCATCTCACCAATACCCACTCAATCGCCTTGACTGTTGCGTCACACTTAAGGAGAGCACTGTACGTAGCAACGTGCGAACTCTCGTTTAATCGCCTGGATTTGAACCCAGGATTTCAACGGTGCCGGCTGAGGATCGCCTAGCAGGGATCTCCATGCTACGAAGATCCCCAAAGACCCGTGCGTTACACGAGTGCCTGGCTAGGATTTCTGACAGCAGAGCCTGTTTCGACTTGCGTGTGACTACTATTAAGCACACGTGCATGCATTAAATACAAAAAATACTGCAACGATGCAGGCAAAGCGCTGAGATGTGTTTAATTACAGTGGGCTCGATTAAAGCAATTTTGCAGATCAAGAATTCAAGCAGCCTTTCATGAGACCCAAATGAATAATTGGTCTCGCACACACCCACACATTGATTTAACGTTGAATAATAAACATATAAATAGACCTCAATGGTTCATAATTTGAATAGCTTCTCACATTCAGAGGCATTAAATACATTTCAGTCAAATAACAGTACGTACTATAAATACGAATATAAATATGCTCATTATGGCACTAGCCCGAACAAGAAACAGTATTCCTAACTCTGGCATCAGCTGTTTGTGAGATTACTCTTCAAGCAAAGGTTACCAGTCCAATCTCCCGGCGTGACAGCTGCAAATACCACCGCCACTTCTTCCCAGTTTAAACAGGGTACCGTGTCCATACCGTGTCAACCCATACGGTATACCTGTACAGGGAAATTGAGTGTTCAGGTCCATACAGCGTACAGCCACTTCAATACGGGAAACATAAAAAAATTGGTGTTTCTCCCTTGTGATGGGACTTTGAGATTTATAAGGGGCACGGGGTGACCGATAAGGTCTGAATTGGTCTGTAATAAGGTAGGGGCACTGATAAGGGGTTGACAGGTATGCATGTACCACAGTTAATTGATCGTCAGGTCACGTATGGTGGGGTAAGATGTGGGCATTCCCATCTCTTTAATTTCTGGCGTGGAAGAGTAGGCAAAATACCATGTAGAAAAGAGCTCTACAGCTAGGAGATTCATCTGCCAGCAGTGGTGTAATAATAATTAAATTCAGAGAGCGCTTTTCATCGAGGATCTGAAAGCGTTGTACAGGACACAGCAGCAACTGAGCGCGTCTTGAGACATTTCATGGCTGCGTCTTTAAAAATCACTCGGGGTTTTTTTTTTCAAGGAAAAGCGAAAATTCAAAACAGGTGTGACAAAAGAACCCACTAAAATTGCAATCTGAATCCTGATACCACTGAATTGAGTCCGTTTATCTAAAAACACGGTACTTTAATGGCAAATTGTTCAGCCAGAAATTAAAATATTACTGCATTGCTAAAACACTCTCGTCACGCGCAATCACGCAACCACCCAGGCCCTATAACGTAATTACATGTCAAGATGACGGATTAAAGAGATAAATATATCGCAGTCGCATGCGCGTGGGGCTTGGTATGGAGATAAAAAAAACACACACACACGTGTATATGCAAGCGAAGATAGACCGGCCCTCACTCAAAACCTGGACAGGGCTCTGTGGAAGCAAACACTTACCCCGCACATCCCGATAAGCACGGTTGTCTACGTTCCGTGCGAAATAAGTTCAACAAACGTACACGACGCGTAGGAATTTCAGTCTCGGTTGTCTTAGTGGATCAATGGTCAAGAGCACTGAGCTCTGGCATGGCCAGGCTCCAAAGTTTGAATCCGCGCAGTTGGCCCGTCAGTAAGACGGCTTCACGAGCGTGGTGGGGGGGGGGAATTGTTTATCTGAGCCCCGTGGTCAATCACCGCATGCAGTGAACTTGAAGCAAGTGGCACGGCGGCTGTGAACCAGAGACGCACCCTGACAGGGCTGACACCAGCAGACCACGCTTGGCTCACCGTCTCCGATACAGCCACTCGCCGAAACCTTCGGCGAGTGGGGATTTACAGGAAGCCCCGGGGCTTGAGCCCAGCTTCTCGGCAGTGCTGGCTCAGTGAACCATGACAGAGCCGTCGTGAAACGGTAAAGTCGCCCACACACCCCGAGCAGTTCTGGCGCGGCACCCAGCACACTGCGCGCATCGTGAACCCCCGCTCGGGTTCTGACAACACCGAGGCCTCGTCGGCGAGCTCGCGCAGCCCCGGGCTCTCCTGCTTTCACCGCCCGTAACGGATCCGATCCCCCGGCCGTGCGGGTCAGGCAAGGCGAGGGCTCCGCACCTCGGCGCACCCGCAACCCACCCGAGAAGCAGTCCGGGTAGATTGACTCGAGCGCTTCCAGCTCGTTCCTCTGCTCCTCCTCGTAGTCCATCGCGGTCGACTTCGCCCGCCTAGTCCCCCATAGGCCGTACAATCGCGGCGCGTGGAAAGTGGAGGTGTTGGTGGTGTTGGTGGTGTTGGTTGGTGTTGGAGGAGAGAGCGACACGTGGAGTCGACGCGCGACTGCTCGAGTCTGGCTCGCGGCGTCGCGATCGCGCGATCGGCAATCTTCAAAGGGGCCGCGTGGTGCCGCGGGACGTTCGCTGTGCCAGGCAAGGGCGAGCCTCGACTTACGAACATTCGACTTACGAACTTTCAGAGATACGAACTTTCAGAGATACGAACAAACCTGGTCCGTACGTCCAGGTTGCCTGTTCGGACCGAGAGTCATAAGTTTAACCGCCGCGCAATAGATGGCGGTGGTGGCATCTACATCTGCAGAACGTGAAGAACCAGTGGCATCTACATCGACAGAACAAGAAGAACCAGTGGCATCTACATCGACAGAACATGAAGAACCAGTGGCATCTACATCGACAGAACAAGAAGAACCAGTGGCATCTACATCGACAGAACATGAAGAACCAGTGGCATCTACATCTACAGAACGTAAAGAACAAATGGCATCTACAGAACGTGATGAACCAGTGGCATCTACATCTGCAGAACGTGAAGAACCAGTAGCATCTACATCTGCAGAACGTGAAGAACTAGTATCTACATCTGCAGGACGTGAAGAACCAGTGACATCTACATCTACAGAACGTAAAGAACAAATGGCATGTACATCTGCAGAACATGAAGAACCAGTGGTATCTACATCTGCAGAACATGAAGAACCAGTGGTATCTACATCTGCAGAACGTGAAGAACCAGTGACATCTACATCTGCAGAACACGAAGAACCAGTGGCATCTACATCTGCAGAACATGAAGAACCAGTAGCATCTACATCTGCAGGACGTGAAGAACCAGTTGCATCTACATCTGCAGAACGTGAAGAACCAGTGGCATCTACATCTGCAGGACGTGAAGAACTAGTGGCATCTACATCTGCAGAACGTGAAGAACCAGTGGCATCTACATCTACAGAACGCGAATAACCAGTGGCATATACATCTGCAGAACGTGAATGACCAGTGGTATCTACATTTGCAGAACGTGAAGAACCAGTGACATCTACATCTGTAGAACGTGAAGAACCAGTGGCATCTACATCTGCAGAACATGAAAAACCAGTGGCTTCTACATCTGCAGAACATGAAGAACCAGTGGCATCTACATCTGCAGAACGTGAAGAACCAGTGGCATCTACATCTGCAGAACGTGAAGAACCAGTGGCATCTACATCTGCAGAACGTGAATGATCAGTGGCATCTACATCTGCAGAACGTGAAGAACCAGTGGCATCTACATCTGCAGAACGTGAAGAACCAGTGGCATCTACATCTGCAGAACGTGAAGAACCAGTGGCATCAATATCTGCAGAACGTGAATAACCAGTGGCATCTACATCGACAGAACATGAAGAACCAGTGGTATCTACATCTGCAGAACGTGAAGAACCAGTGACATCTACATCTGCAGAACACGAAGAACCAGTGGCATCTACATCTGCAGAACATGAAGAACCAGTAGCATCTACATCTGCAGGACGTGAAGAACCAGTTGCATCTACATCTGCAGAACGTGAAGAACCAGTGGCATCTACATCTGCAGGACGTGAAGAACTAGTGGCATCTACATCTGCAGAACGTGAAGAACCAGTGGCATCTACATCTGCAGAACATGAAAAACCAGTGGCTTCTACATCTGCAGAACATGAAGAACCAGTGGCATCTACATCTGCAGAACGTGAAGAACCAGTGGCATCTACATCTGCAGAACGTGAAGAACCAGTGGCATCTACATCTGCAGAACGTGAATGATCAGTGGCATCTACATCTGCAGAACGTGAAGAACCAGTGGCATCTACATCTGCAGAACGTGAAGAACCAGTGGCATCTACATCTGCAGAACGTGAAGAACCAGTGGCATCTACATCTGCAGAACGTGAAGAACCAGTGGCATCTACATCTGCAGAACGTGAAGAACCAGTGGCATCAATATCTGCAGAACGTGAATAACCAGTGGCATCTACATCGACAGAACATGAAGAACCAGTGGCATCTACATCTAGAGGAGATGATACAACTTGTAAAGCCATTCCCCCTGATTAGTGCACATGTCGTACAACGCGTTTGGAATCGGCAGGAGTAAAGTTGGACTTACGAACAAATCGACTTACTAACAGACCCCTGGAACCTAACTCGTTCGTAAGTAGAGGAGTGCCTGTACAACCAGTAGTACGTGTACAGTACATGCATATGAAGAGCTTGCAACCCACTGCTGGATGAGTGCCTCCCCAAGTTGTCGGTCACAATGGCGATCAGTCTGTTGTGAAGTGTGGTAGATCGACATCCAGCTGTACATGAATTAACAGAACGCTCGGCACATTTGTCAATAACACTGTGTGGTCTTAAACGTGAAACATACATCATAGGTGTTGTGTTGGTGTACAACATCACACCCATATGGCGAATATGGATCGCGATCCACTGGTGGATGTCGGGAGAAATGAAAACAAACACGAACATTAGCACACAACGCAACAATACAGGATTCATAAGAGGGTTGTTTTGGTTTGATCGCGTAAATATAAATGTGTCGTTAAACCCGCCACCACCCAACACAGCCAATTAGTAAGGTTTGTCACGTAAACAGAACATGCCAATTCTTTACTAATTCACAACATTTACAATCTGAGTACGACGTCTCGCCAGTAATTACAATTAGCATCATCAGGCGATAGCCAGATTTGTGGAGAAATCTTCCTGTTTCAGGATTGGTTACAACTGATGGCAAATAAAAATCCACGACTAAAAATGGTTAAATTAAAGTGATAATTTCTACCAATAGATGGCGTTAGTACTTTACATCTCTAGTACAGTACTCTATACTGTATTAAAGGGTTAAATCCAGATAATTGTTAGTCAAAGCTCTATGATCTGATGGACCGCGGATGCCGTTGAGATCCACCACATTGGATAATAGTTAAATTTCGATTTAAAGCTTTCGTGACTGCAAGGATTCATCTTCTTTGGTTCTTTCGGTAAAGTCACGTAGAATGAGAATAAAATAATAAATTGATAAAATAAAATAACACAATAATATTCTCACGACGTTTCGGCCACAACACAAGCGGCCTTCATCAGATGAAGGGGACGAGACTGTCTGGAGGACAGCGCTGGAGTGAGAAAGCCACGCTGAGATCACGACCTTTAAGCTGTGTGAGAAGAAACAAAGCGCCTTGACAAAGGAATTAGCATATAATTTAGCATTGAAATGGCTGAGTGATTAGCTTGTGACTGGTCACAGAAAAGGCTATGTTAAAGTTGAAGCATACACATCCGCAAAGGCACCCCTTGACAAAGTAATTAGCATAGAATTTAGCATTGAAATAGCTAAGTTAACATCCGCAAAGGCACCCCTTGACAAAGGAATTAGCATAGAATTTAGCAAAGTTGTGTATACTTTAACTTAGCTATTTCAATGCGAAATTCTATGCTAATTCCTTTGTCAAGGGGTGCCTTTGCAGATGTGTATGCTTTAACTTTAACATAACCTTTTCTGTGACCAGTCACAAGCTAATCACTCAGCCATTTCAATGCTAAATTATATGCTAATTCCTTTGTCAAGGCGCTTTGTTTCTTCTCACACAGCTTAAAGGTCGTGATCTCAGCGTGGCTTTCTCACTCCAGCGCTGTCCTCCAGACAGTCCTCGTCCCCTTCATCTGATGAAGGCCGCTTGTGTTGTGGCCGAAACGTCGTGAGAATATTATTGTGTTATTTTATCAATTTATTATTTTATTCTCATTCTACGTGACTTTACCGAAAGAACCAAAGAAGATGGATAATAGTTGGTGTTTTGGCCATCACTGGCATTAACCAATACATAAACCATCACTGGTATAAACCAATGCATTGACCATCACAGGTATACACTAAATGTGTGAATTAGTGATGTGTACAATGAACACAACAGCAAATTTAGATCTGTCTATTTTCACAATCCTCATCGACACAATACGCCGATAAGTAACAGTGCCTCGGCATTCTTTAATGAACGATGCAGCTGTCAGATGTGGAAATATCTATGGCTAAGGATTAGCTGATTCTCTCTGTTGAGTTACTTGATTAATACTTTTAAACAAAATAGAAGGATAACATCCGATTACTTTTGGGAACCAATGACAGCTCTAAATAAGGGCGCCACTGTGGCTATGAGATGTTTACTACCTCGCCTGGTGTACAGGAGGTCGTGGTGTGTGCGTCATCACCACGGTGGCTAGGAGATGTTAACTACCTCGCCTGATATACAGGAGGTCGTGGTGTGTGCGTCTCTCTCATCATCACCACGGTGGCTAGGAGATGTTAACTACCTCGCCTGGTGTACAGGAGGTCGTGGTGTGTGCGTCTCTCTCATCATCATCACGGTGGCTAGGAGATGTTAACTACCTCGCCTGGTATACAGGAGGTCGTGAGTTCTATCCCGACTCTGACGCCTGCTGCATATTTGGAGTTTGTATTTTATCTCTCACTGTAGTCGTGTGGATTTTTCTCCGGGTCCTGCGGTTTTGTCCCTCCACATTTAGAAACATGCGTTTAGAGTATTATTGCTGACATAAATTTCCGCATAAGCCACTAAGTTGGGCTATCATTTCTGGCCAGGTCGCTTCTGAAAAAGAGCTATACAGCTTAGTGGGCTTTACCTGGTAAATTAAAACATTGTTTAGTTTACAACCATTTCAAAAGTCACGGACTGCGAGGTTTCAGTTTGGTGTTTTAACATCTTAACACCTGTTCTGTTGCCAGAAAAAAGGGGGAAAAGTTATTATCATATTTTGATATTGGCAAAGGAGATCCCATGATGACTGCGATAAAGTTTATTTTAAAAAATCCGCAACCTTAAGACTCTACTGCCGCCTAGCGTCCAAAGGAACGACAGTGAAATTACATTCTTAGTGCCCGACATCACTTGGAGCCGAGATTTAGAGGCGCATTGGGGAACAATTTAATTTGTTATATCACCATTAGCAGACATTCCGAATATTGCCGCCAAGGACATGTGCCGAGGTGATGATATGTTAGTACAAACCCTCTGAAAAGCGTCGCATCAGTCTTATACCTGTCTACTTATACGGTTTACCCGTATTCTTGTAAAGGGAATTGTAGTTTTAAGGTCCATAAGGCCATTTCAATATGGGCAACAATGTTTTGTCTATTTGTTTGTATTTCTCCCTTGTGATGGGACTTTGTAGGATGAACGTTGAGATTTATAAGGGCACGGGGTGACCAATAAGGTCTGAGTTGGTCTGTAATAAAGTAGGGCATAAGGAGTTGATAAGGAGTTGATAAGGGGTTGACAGGTATGCAGCCTTACCTCCTAGGATCGCCACCGTTTCCACTGCAGACCCCAACCATATCAGAGTTTTCAACCAGCACCGGGGCCTGCTATTATCAGAACCGTGCGGTTCACGATAATGAAAGTTAAACACCGGTCCCGGCACTCGGTACGAAGCAATTGCTGGCAGCAGCCGAACGCCTGTGAATGAATACTCCGGGTCAAATTCCGAGAAGGTGGCAACCGCAGTAGGCCCATGGACGTGAATGGGTGAGGTGAGCGAGGTTGGGCGGTATGGGACCGTCCATAAATGACGTCACGCGATTTTGGACGATTTTTGACCCCCCTCCCTCCCTCCCTAGTCACACGGCGTCACAAAAAGTCAGATCCCTCCTCAAATATGACATCACAAAGCTCTGCCCTCCCCCCCAAAACATAAAACATGCTTCAAATCGCTTTAAACAATTGTCATTGTAGTGCGTATTTAATGTGGCGCTGCACTCTGATGTTGTAGGAGAAAACATTTATTAAAAAGTATATTTAATTAAGTAGAAGTGTTGTTTATATTTATTCAAAGTTGCGCATTTTGATGTGACGTCACATTTCTCAAAACCTCCCCCCCTCCCTCGTCACACATCGTCACAAATGTCGGACCCCACCCCCCCTAGGTGCGTGACATCATTTATGGGGTTTGCCACCTTCTTTTCCTTCCAAAGACCAAGCCCTGCCTCGGTCAGCACTTGGGGCCTCTCCCATCAATACTCTGACGGCCTCCCGTGGTATAAGTTCAACACGGGGCCAGATTTCGGTCACCCGCAACGCAGGTGACGCCAATTCCCGTCGGGGGTGGTGTTGCTGGCTGTCGCGCTCAAAAGCGGACAAGTGGCAACAACCTCATACACATTATATATCGGTTCCAGTAACACAGTGGTTGTTGTGGTTGTTGTTGGTGGTGGGGGGAGCGGTGGTGCAGCGGTCAGCGCGATGCCGCGCTACGGAACCCGGCGACCCGGGTTCGATCGCCGCTCACGGCCAACACCGGTGACGATTATCGGAACCGGTCTTGGGCCTCCCCCCGAGGTCGACTCAGCCTCAAATGAGCACCTGGTGTGATGTGTTGGCAACGCCACGAGGGAGACAAAGGCGGCCGGGCGTGGTGCTGGCCACCCACCCCCCCCCCTCGTGTGCCACAGTGCCGACCTTCATAGTGTGCTCACTAACAGCACTTGCCCCGACAGTCTGTTAAGGCTACACGGGGGGATCTTTTTGCTTTGTTGTTGTTGCACAAGACTCCAACAAAAATCCATCAGGCAGGCAGCCAGCAACAAGCGGCGACTCAACAACCCACGGGGTTCAAATCGTGGTACGGTCACCGAACATGGAACACGCCCTGGGGGGGGGGGGGGGTGACGTCACCTCCCGCGAGGGTATCCGACGCGCTGGGTGCAGCAGGAGGATGACTTTCACGTGAACCCGCGACAGTGAGTGAGTGATATGAAGAAGACAACAGTATGGGGGGGGGGCGTTTTTCTCTTGCTGGTAATAAAACAAGGGGTGCTGAGATATTAAAACACCAAGTAGAAAGTTTAACACGTAGGCTTTCCAAAATACAGTTTTTTTTGCTGGGGGGGGAGGGGTAGATAGCGTAAATATGCCCAAATTCTTTGGTTCTATTCGGTAAAGTCACGTAGGTAAAAAATAAAACAACGAAAATCACGACGTTTCGGCCACAACACAAGTGGCCTTCATCAGGCGAAGGGACCGTGCTGTCATGTAGGTATTTTTTATCTACGTGACTTTACCGAATAGAACCAAAGAGTATGGATCCTTGCAGTCACGAAAGCTTCAAATCTAGAATATGCCCAGATTGTAAATGTTGTGGCTTGGCTCTCCAACACACAACCGGTGTTGCTGTACTAGTGACGAATTGGCACGTTCTGTTTACGTAACAAATCTTACTAAGTGGCTGTGTCGATCTAACTCCCCCCACCCAAGAAAACCAGCATTATGGATCAAATAGAAACCTTTTAAAAGGAATCAAGTTCGCATGAACCACACACGTTACTTGTGGTTAACACGCAAACAAACATGCTCTGATGATGATGATAATAATATATGATGCATACTATTTGGTTCTTTCGGTAAAGTCACGTAGGTGAAAACATACAAAAACAATGTATATTTATTTATTTCTATTTTTATATATTTATTAATATTTTTTCACCTACGTGACTTTACCGAAAGAACCAAAGAAGATTAATCCTTGCAGTCACGAAAGCTTTAAATCGAAATTTAAAAGAGACAGCAGCTTCCTTTATGGTCAAGGCTCACCACCAGTGTCAGACCAGAAAACGACCATAATAGGCGAACAGTAAAGAATTAATTATACATTATGTGTAATGCTTTAGGCCCGACAGAAATAATTATAAAGTATACGTAGGAATACAATAAAATAAATGTTATTTTATTTATATCGACGTGACTTTACCGAAAGAACCAAAGAGTATGGATTCCTGCAGTCACGAAAGCATCACATGTTTAATGATTTATGCCCATATCTAGAGTAATCGGGAGTAGCTTTGCCCCCCCGTATAAGTGATACTGGAAAGGAAATCGACGTTTTTTTTAAACGATCGAATGCCCGATTAATCGCGAACCGACCGATTTTTAAGGCTACACAGCTCGATCCATGCTTGATCCATGCTCGAACACATAGCCGAAAGAACCAAAGAAGATAGCCGTGATATTTAGAAGATATTTTTTAAAACTGATTCCTGTCCCGTCGAATCTGACGATTTGTGGATCGCACCATAATTTATAATCCATTCTGTCAGGCCTAAAAAAAACTTAAACATATTTTATCATTGATTCTGTCGGGCATAAATCACTAAACATAATTTATCATTCATTCTATCGTGCCTAAAACATTACACAAATGTGTAATTCATTCTGTCGGGCGTAAAGCATTAACATAAATTTAGAATTAATTCGGTCGGGCCTAAAGCATTACACACAATGTATCACTCTGTCGGGCCTAAATCAGTAAACATAATTTATAATCAATTTTGTCGGGCCTAAATCATTAACATAATTTATTACTCATACTCTCGCGGATTCATTGTAGTCTCTGGTTCCAGCGCGCCCATTGGTTGGAGCGGCGGCGCACGCGCCGTAGGGGGGCGGGGGGGGGGTCGGGCGCGTCTGGACCAATGGGGACGCGCGGCCGTGCGCGTGCGGGCTGCGGAGTATAAAAGGCTCCGGCGTCCCGCCCCGTGGCGGACGGAGCTCTCAGTCTGGGGGTCGCGGGAGCCGCATCTAGCAGGTAACAGCAGCAGCAGCAGCAAGCAACAGCAGCAAGCAACAGCAAGCAGCAGCAAGCAACAGCAAGCAACAGCAAGCAGCAAGCCAACAAGGCAGCGACGGAATTATATTCCAGGTATGCGGAAAGGTATCTGTGAAACAACGAGGCCAAATATGTAACGCAAACATATTTTACGAAAATAATTACGTAATTTTATTTTTGTGTGTTAAAGTCAAACGCATTTTGACTTCGTTGTGCGTTCGTCCAAATGAATGGGTGTTGCATGGGAGGCTGTGCATGTGCGCGCGTTGTATGTATGTAGCGGGGAGCGGTGGTGTAGCGGTTAGCGCTACGCTGCACTACGACACCTGGCGACCCGGGTTCGATTCAGGCTCACGGCCAACACCAGTGACGATTATCTGAACCGGTCCTGGGGCCTCCCCTAGGTCGACTCGGCCTCAAAATGAGTACAAAGGCGGCCGGGCGTGGTGTTGGCCATCCCCCACCCCCTCGTGTGCAGTGCCGGGGCCTTCATAGGTACACTCGCTTACGGCACTTGCCCCCACAGTCTGTTACAGGCTCTACGAGAGGTGTCTTTGGGTTTGTGTGTGTGTATATATTGGACCTCTTTCGCACCGTACGTAGCCTGGGGGGGTGGGTGCTGCATTCATTCATTCGCTGCAGTGAACGGTGACCTCGCCGCTGACTCGTGCCCGGAAGCGCCGTCACAATCTCAGAAGGTCCACCAGGCGCCGGCTCCCGTCGTCATCATCGAGCATTCGTGAATTATATACATTCACGATTGTGGGGATAATTAAAAAAACTAAAAATGTGCAGCCCGTGGCGGTCATGTTTGGTGTGTTGAGTGGCATAGGAGGGCACACTGTATACAGTACATCACGAGCCACTGATGTTGGCCGTGGCCGGGAATTGAACTGTGGGGTTAGCCGGCTTGGTTGGCTGAGCAGTGCAGTATACAGTTACCGTAATTTAACAGTCTATAAATACTATACTGCAATGTGCAGTCTATAAAGACTGTACTGCAACAATGTACAGTCTATAAATACTATACTGCAATGTACAGTCTAACAGTCATTAATACTACTGCCATGTGCAGTCTATAAAGACTGTACTGCAACAATGTGCAGTCTATAATAATAATAGGGTTTTTCCCCTTTTTCAACAAAACTGAAACCTTTTTACAAGGATTCATGTCTGCAATAACCACAATACCTGCAGTCAAAATGCAAACAAAAAAATACTATGATAATATATGCATTGTCCTTGAAACTGATTGGTCCACACCAAGGGGGGACGGCTTTCTTTTGAGCCTCGACCCAATTGGTGCTCGACCAGTTGACCCCAAAAGACTGTACGTCAACAACGTGCAGTCTATAAAGACTGTACGTCAACAACGTGCAGTCTATAAAGACTGTACGTCAACATCGTGCAGTCTATAAAGACTGTACGTCAACATCGTGCAGTCTATAAAGACTGTACGTCAACATCGTGCAGTCTATAAAGACTGTACGTCAACATCGTGCAGTCTATAAAGACTGTACGTCAACAACGTGCAGTCTATAAAGACTGTACGTCAACAACGTGCAGTCTATAAAGACTGTACTGCCATGTGCAGTCTATAAAGACTGTACGTCAACGTGCAGTCTATAAAGACTGTACGTCAACGTGCAGTCTATAAAGACTGTACGTCAACGTGCAGTCTATAAAGACTGTACGTCAACGTGCAGTCTATAAAGACTGTACGTCAACAACGTGCAGTCTATAAATACTGCACATGGCAGTACAGTCTATAAAGACTGTACTGAAACAACGTACAGTTTATAAAGACTGTACTGCAACAACGTACAGTCTATAAAGACTGTACTGCAACAACGTACAGTCTATAAAGACTATGTCAACAACGTGCAGTCTATAAAGACTATACTGCCATGTGCAGTCTATAAAGACTGCACATGGCAATACAGTCTATAAAGACTACGTCAACAACGTACAGTCTATAAAGACTGCACATGGCAGTACAGTCTTTATAGACTGTACGTCAACAACGTGCAGTCTATAAAGACTATACTGCCATGTGCAGTCTATAAAGACTGCACATGGCAGTACAGTCTATAAAGACTACGTCAACAACGTACAGTCTATAAAGACTGCACATGGCAGTACAGTCTATAAAGACTGTACGTCAACAACGTGCAGTGTTTCGCCTTGCTCGATCATCGTTGCCGAATGTAGTCCAACCAGTTATCCGACAAATGGAACAAAATATTCGAGTGTCCATTTCGTTATTTAACCCTTTAATTATCCATGTTTCTCAACTATCAAATATCAATAATGTCACGTACGGCACGATGTTTTGATATTTACCCAATGTATTTTAGATTTCCGGCAATATCGAATTACACTAACTTATTGACAACCGTGTATCATAATTATCAAAGCAATACATTAATTTAAAAAAATTTAAACGCATCCTCAATTCTCGACAGCATGAAAGTATAAAATCAAGAGATTATTTAAAAAAAACATGTTCAGTCACCGAACGTGTATGATAAATATTACAATGTTGTGGATGTTCCCACTGATTTCTGCTTTGACTAGCCCCCGCCCTTCCCCCAGATGTCCCAACGTTGGTCTCGACAAGGATTGCCTCCAGGCTGGTGGACACAGAGACCCTTCCCGTGCCGCTTTCTAGTTCACGACCGCGCTGAATTATTTTGGCGTGGTTCTCAATGTCATACCTGCCACAACCCCCTTATAAAGTGCCCTCCCTACCTCATTACAGACCAATTCGGACCTTATTGGTCAGCCCCGTGCCCCTTGTAAATCTCAACGTTCATCTTTACAAAGTCCCATCACAAGAGAGAAACACAAACAAATAGACACAACATTTTGGTTGTTGCCCGTATTGAAACGGCTGTGCGCCGTATAAACCTGAACTCAATTCCCCTGTGCAACAATACGGGTTAAAGCCTGTGCCGCATTAGCCTCGTAGCAAAAGTAGCTACTGGTGTAGCTACTACATATGTAGCTACTACATAAGTAGTAGCTACATATGTAGTAGCTACTACATATGCAGTAGCTACTACATATGATGCTACGGTCCCCACACTTTCAAGGGCCCCGCGCTAAATGCTTTCAAGCTATCAATTCCGGTTCAGTGCACTTGCTCTATTACTGTAGTACTATACTGCCTAAAGCTTTTATGAACGACTGGTTGTTTAAGGTTGGCGATTTGTCGTATTATCTGGCTGTATAGAAAATGAAGAAAACAATTACTTTACTATGCAAGTAAACCATTTGTGTTTTAATATTTGTGGGTTTTTCAAATTTAGGGCCCCATTATAACATATGCTACAGGCCCTGCGCTAGCTTAATCCGTCACTGGGTAAACCGTATGTAGTGTAGTGTATAGTAGAGTGGAGTGTTTAGTGCAGTGTATAGTAGTGTAGTGTATAGTGGAGTGTTTAGTGCAGTGTATAGTAGTGTATTGTATAGCATTCCTGTCAACCCCTTATCAGTGCCTACCTTATTTCAGACCGGTTCAGACCTTATTGGTTTCCCCCGTTTCCCTTATACATCTCAAGGTTCATCCTACAAAGTCCCATCACAAGGGAGAAACTAACAAATAGACAATATTTTTTTTTTTGCCCGTATTGAAATGGATGTAGGCCGTATGGACCTGAACTCCACTTCCCTGTACAATACGGCTAAACCTTATGGGTTGACGAGTATGTAATGTTTTTTTTAAATACACGTTTTTTAAATAATCGAGGTGTACATTCATAACGTTTATGAAACATTGTTGAAAATTAAATATAAAAAATATATCTGACTACAGATATGCCATTAGTAATGGCTCAGAATGGACAACGTTTTCCCTTTACCATGTCGTTGAATGGAATACACATTCAAATCTTTTTGTGGGAGGAAAAAAAATGGTATTACGCTATTTGATTGACCAAAAACTTTACTGTGCGATTTGGGCAAGAAATAATCGCGTTAATGACTGCAGTTGTCCACTCATCACTTGGCAGTGTCACTGTAAGTGGATGACTGCATGTGTTCTGTAATTTGTAAATCAATGTTATTTTTTTAACTAGCGCGAGCTTATTTAACGAATGCAAGGTTACGAGGAAGAATAGATTTTTGGGTCCGATCGCTGCGTGAGTAAAATGCCAATAACGTGCGTCGTGCCCCCTCCCTCCACCTGACGCAGCCAAAGAAGGTTGTCACGTGATGAACACACGTGTGCCCGCTGGATTCTGACTCGAGCTGCATGAACACCGGTGCGCGTTGGAGAGCAAGCCACATACCCCTTTTAAGAAGTGTTGCGAAACGTCGTACTCAGATTGTAAATGTTGTGGCTTTGCTCTACAACACACTACTGGAGTTGCTGTACTACTAATAAATTGGTATGTTCCGTTTACGTGACAAACCTTACTAATTGGCTGTGGCGGGTTTAACAACACATTTTTATTTATGCGATTGAACCCAAAATCCTGCATTATGGAAGTGTTATGTTCACGTTACAACTTTATTTCACTGGTCTTATCGGATGGAGGAGGGGTGTACAACAAAACGTTTTTACTGCCCAGTGAACCTGACCCAAATTAAAAAAACATAAATTATAATTATGAATCGTTACATGGGTCACGAAAGCCTGCGTGGTTAAATTTTAACACGCGCTTTAAACCTGTGGGTTGAGCAAAATGTTTTTCCCCCCATCTCGTAGTTAGATCGGCACGTTTGTCATGAGGAATGGGATGCGGGTCCCTTTTTATGGTTCAGTGACCCCGAAAGTCCAGTGCAGCAGCAAAGCAGTAGCGCTCTTGTTCTCGCTGTGTTGCACATGAGTTTTCTAGCCGAGGATTGAGGAAATGCACCACGGAGATGAACTTTAAAACGAGGACTGTTTAAATTCGGTTGTTCGTTTTTGCATTACCGGTAATCACATGAAATACAAAACCCCGGTAAAGACTGCTAACTGGTGTGCCGCACATGTACAAATATCTAGCTATATATATGCACACGCATGTTTTTTGTTATTGAAAGACAAAGGCGTCTCGCTTTTGGTGTGATGGTTTTGCAAATTGGACTTGCAAAGCAGAATGCGCCTTCGATCTTCCCCCACCTCTGCCACCCCAGTAGTCTTATTGGCAGGTCATTGTGTGGAGGGGTAAAGTGTTAGTATTCCCATCCCTGTCAGCCTAGAAGAGTTGCTCTGAATACTGTGGGGGAGTTCTTTCTAGTGGATACAATTTCATAAGCAGAGACATGAGTATTTAATTTGGCAATAGGTGTGTAAGCAGGATGAAATATGTGGTAGGTAGGAACAGCTACATTGTACAGCCCTTTTGTTCAATCCATGGCTGGACGAGGGTCTCTCCACGACTTACAGATCGCAGGGGTTATTTAGTCCATACTTCACCACGCTGGTCAGTGCGGGTCAGAACGGGCCATACAAACGTATAACAATGCAATGCCCGGTCCACAAATCCGAAGGAGACTTCGCAGTGATGATGCACTCCGCTGCTCCTGACGCGGTTGTCTGGCTTGACCACCTGAATGTGAAATTGTCGTCGTTGCTCTGCATCTACATCAGCTATACGAAAGAAGAGGAAGAGGGCGAATGGTATAAACTCGAGTGCATGGAAGTGCAGGTCAGTACCACAATGGGTTTTGCCGCACTGCCCTTTGCCGCCCACCGTATTGCCCCACAGCAGCCTATGACAACCTGCAGCATGATGGGGTAAGTAAATGGACACACGGGGAGAAGGCCAATAAAGTATGAAGGTACACAAGTACGCTAGAAAGTATTTGGAAGGTGGGTAGAACGATAGACTATTAAACGGGGCGAGCACCCGTGCTGGTGTAATGCCTCGGGTAGCTGAAGTAGTGGTTGAATTCAAATGAAGTCTAAAGTGACTGTTGGTCGTGGGATATAAGCAAAAGAAAAACCGAATCTTCATCAATTAATGCCGCCTTTTATCATTAACACAGAGCAGGCTGCTGTTTCGGTAAATGGTCCTTGTTCAGAGCAGACGGCAGACAGAATTTTGAATTCTAACGAGAATCGCACTTTACACACCGTAGGGCGCTGAAAATGTCAAAGAAAGTTGGTACGTTAATGGTTCTTCTGAGGAAAAAGAATAGTAACAATTAAAAAACCCTTCCAAAAAGGTCGGCCAGTAATTGATGAAATAAAAAAAATATGTTAAAATTGCAAAACTACATCATGCTGTGCTGACTTAGCAGGATACTGATTTAAAGGACATGGTGCTGACTTGGTGAGCAGCAGGATATTGAATTAGAGGTCATTGCACTGACAATAAGTGCAAGGCACAGACTTACAGGGCATGCTGTGGACTTGAGGCATGGCTCTGATTTAAAGGGCATGGTGCCAGGTTGGAAAGTATGGCGCTTGCTGAGAGAAGCATAACGGTTGCTTAGAGACGTGTGGTGTGTGCGCTGTGCATACATTTACGACACCTTTCAATGGGCTTTTTATACACAACCCATCTTCATAGTCATTGTGTAACGATCCGCTGCATGTGTGTGGAAGCGTCGCGAGACGCCGTATCGCGATACTCTCAACCAACGGTGGGGAACCGCCAGATGCGACCCATGGCTTAATTCAACACAGCCCACCACCACCACCACCACATAATCGTCATAACCCCCGTACCTTCAATTAGCACGGTTGGCATACATATATACATGAATACGTTATGCCAGCCAGCCCACAAAACGACACTTATCCGTCACTGGCAAGCTTTCTAGCCGCACGAATTGGGTTTGAGAGAGGAATATATACTCCCCGGCGAGAACACTGTCTTTCGAATTCACTTCACAGGGATGAAGCGCACTGTGCTGTGAATCCGGCGACCTGATTTCTATTCCTGGCGACGGATAACATAAGCGGTGTGTGAACGATATCCTAATCGGTCCTTGCCCCTCCCCTTCACTAACGCGCAATGACCAGTGTGGCGAAGTACGGTCATCAACCTTCATCGAGGAGCGGACTGACAAAATCCTCTAGATTACATACATTGCAGACGCTTCAGAATTGACCAAGGGCGTTTGTCAAAGTGTGGGGCCCCTCCGAAAGGGGAGGGTGTTTTGAAAGTTCCGAAAAGAAAATGTTTCTCACCCCCCCCCCCTGGAGTACACGGACGGGCACCCGCTGCCGTCGGCGGCGTTGTCGCAACTCGAGGGGATTCAAGCGGCCGCTGGCGAGGTGGCGAGGTTGTTTGGGGATAACGTAATCTCGCCACTGTGCCCGCACCACTGAGATCCCGCAATCAAATACAGGTTTAAATTTAAATCGGCTTCTCAAGCTTGGTGAGTTCATCGTCGCTGCCTGGTTGGTCACCAAGAAAAACTCGGTTAAAGTAAAATTTGAGTTTGGACAATTTGGCGTAATCCGACTCGGAATTACAAGCTTTGTTTTCATAAAATAATAATAGGGGGTTTCCCCTTTTTTCTGGCAACAAAACTGAAACCTTTTTGCAAGGATTCATGTCTGCATTAACCACAATACCTGCAGTCAAAATGCAAACAAAAAACACTAATATATGCATTGTCCTTGAAACTGATTGGTCCACACCAAGGGACGGCTTTCTTTTGAGCCTCGACCCAATTGGTGCTCGACCAGATGACGCCAAAAGGCGTAATTTCAGTGAGCAGCGGATACGTTTTTTTGTTAGGTCGCGTAAATATAATTGAGTCGCTAAACCCACCAACGCAGTTTAATGACGCATTTATATTTACTTGATCTAACCCAAAAAAACCTGATAGAATAATATTGTTTACGAAAGCCTACATGTAATAACAAACTTTGTTTCGTTAGTCATTGAATTGGCATTCTCTGCAGAGAATATACAAGAGCTGTGCCTCTCGGGTGCGTAATGTACGTTTCCTCAGTAACCCCTCCCCCACATTGTGCAAGAGTGCAGAAGGGTGGTCACCACATCTACGCCTCTAGATAAGGAACGAAAGAGGTAGACTTCTCCACAAATCTGGCTGTCGCCTGATGAAGCTAGTTTCAATTACTGGCAAAACGTTGTACCCGGTTTGTAAATGTTGTGGCTTGGCTCTCCAACACACCGGTGTGCTGTACGAGTAACGAATTGGCATGTTCCGTTTACGTGACAACCCTTACTAGTTGGCTGTGTCAGGTGGTAGTGGTGGGTTTTAACGACACATTTAGATATTTACACGATCTAACCCAAAAACCTTCTGTTATAGTCCTGGGATAGTCTCGGACACAAGGTGGTCCGCTGCTCACTGAAATAATTATGTTCCCAGCCACGGCTAACACAAGCGACGAGTGACACCTGAACCAGTCATGGACATCCCTCCTCCTTCAACCCGCACTGACCAGAGTGGTGAAACATGGTCAAACAGCACCCATATCCAACACAGGATGGGGAGGCCTTCATCCAGCAAGCAGGGATGTAACATTAATTCTCAGTTTATCAAATTAATGCTTTCATAACAATTACAAATCACTACTATATTAATACTGTGACATAGTTGCTATGATAAATACTACGGTGTGGCGAAGTATGGTCAAGCATCCTCCATGACCGGCGCATCGTGAGTTGGTCATCCAGCAGTGGATTAATATAGCTGTCCATGTCAAGTTTGTTTTAGTGTAAATCGTTTGCAAGATTGACATCGGGTCACAAATTCACGGAAGCAACAAGTAAAGTACCGCAATGAAGCCAATGGCAATCGGAGCAAAAAACATTTGCGTCCAACAAGCGATCAGCAATATTGCACACAAATGCAAATCGACGTTAGATTATAAATTCCCCCATAGCGTAAAAATCAGCTCGGGCAGATGAAGTACAATTACTGTAAGTTGCAGAAACATGAAACAAAAATGAGGGTGATTATATCATAATCAGAAAATGTATTAATACTGGAGGAATCTGATGAGCTATAAAACTCTTTCACATATGTCGGGGCGGGTCAAAGTTACAACAGCGAACAATACAAAAACGCAATAGCAGTACAAAGTATCGGAATGGTGATAAAGTCACTAAAAATAAATATAAATGAAGTATATAAGCACAAATTTGAAAATGCTAACAGACAAGGATGTATATATGTGTGTATGTACAGTGGTACATTTGTCTCCTGACCAAAGTGTATGGGCATCAACTCGCTGTGTACATGGTCTGTGCGTTTGGTAAATGATGCCTGATGGGTGTCCCACCCCTCACCTGGAGAACGTTGCCAGGGCCTCTTGTCGCCTCTCAATTATTTACAGCTCGCCCCTCTCATGCGCAGGATGCAGCGATAGTGTCCTGTGCGCGCACACTCTGACAAAGATCCACCGTATAGCCTTAACGGACTGTTGGGGAAAGTGCTGAAGGCGAGCTCCAATGAAGGCCGGAACGGCACACGAGGGGGTGGGTGGCCAGTAACCACACAGGCCGGCTTTTTCTCCCCAGTGGTGATGTTTATGCACCATACCAGGTCATCGTTTGAGGCCGAGACAACCTAGGGGACCCCCAGGACCGGTTCAGATAACCGTCACTGATGTTGGCCGTGAGCGGCAATCAAACTCGGGTGACCGGGTTCGTAGCGCAGTGCGCTACCGCTACACCTACCACACACACCCGCGTACACAAACGCACCACTGTTGCCTCCTGTCGTGACCTGCTTGGGCGTATTGTGTGCTTGCGTGTATCGTTTGCATGTTCATGCGTTTAAGGGCATCTCTGGCGGTCGCGACGACAGAAGAAGCCATGGAGCTCGTGGGGGATCATCTCAAAGGCGCCGTGGCATTCTACGAGTGGACTCTAACCTTCGCAGGTGCGTGCTTCTGTTGTCTCAGCTCTTTGCGCGAGCCGGGTTTTCTCTGCCTGGTGACCGGTCTCCCGGAAATGCCCCCAGTCTCGTCCGATTATAGATGAACCCAAAGCAGGGGTCGAGCCTGGATGCTGGTGTGTGTGGGTGTTGTGACTCATGTGCACGGAAACGGGCTGCTGTTAGGCTGCTGCTGCTGGGCAGGTGTGTGTGGGCGTCGGAGAATATTGTGGCGAAATTCGTCGTTGTAGAGTGGTGAGATGTTGACTACCTCGCCTGGTATTCAAGAGGTTAATGGGTTCAATCCCGACGCCTGTATTGCATGTTCTCCCCGTGGTCCCGTGGATTTTTCTCCAAGTCCTCCAATTTTTGCCTCCACATTTAGAATCAACATGCGTTCAGAGTATTTGGCTGCCAAAAATTTCCATACGATTAGCAAGTTTGCTGGGCGATCATTTGTGACCAGGTCGCTTCTGAAAAAGAGCTTGGTCGGCCTTACCCGGTTAAACATTTTTTTTTAGTTGTCTCCTCCCCCTGCCTTCAACCCGCGCCGACCAGCGCAATGACATAAGGTCAAATGGCCCTGCACGACCCACACGGCGCATCCAGGCTCTCTCGTCCAGCAGTGGGGTTGACGAGGGGGCGCTGTGCCTCGTGTGCCCGGGTTACATCGTGCGAGTTTGTGGCTTTCCTTACCACTTGCTTGGTTCGGTTCTCGCCTGTGTGTGGCGATGTGAGTGGGGGAGCGGTAGTGTAGCGGTTAGCGCCCTGCACTACGAACCCGGCGTCCCGAGTTAGATTCACTCTCACAGCGCAACACTAGTGATAGCGATTATCTGATCCCGTCCTGGGCCTCCCCTAGGTCGACTCGGCCTCGAATGAGTACCTGGTGCAGTGTGTAAGAACATCGCTACTAGAGAGGGCAGCTGAGCGTGGTGCTGGCCACCCCCCACCCCCTTCGTAAGCCATGCCGTCCTTCATAGGTGCTACTCGCTAACAGCACCTCCCCCAACAGTCTGTCAAGGCTATTCGGGGGATCTTTATCTTTGGGTGTCGTATCACCCGTGCAAAGTTTCTGCCTGACAACGCTTCACTCAGTGGTGCGGGGGGGGGGGAACTTTCCCTAGCATTTGCAAGCGCAGTACATCCTGGCAAAAAAAATTGAACTCATTGCAAACGTGTCAGCATTTTTAAGGACTTTAAAGTTAATCTTGGGTTGTGACGTTAGACACCTTGTGACCTACTTTGGTCAAATTCGTGATGAGGTTTGTTTCACGCAATTGCTTTGATATCGACGTCGCGAAGGTGGTTAAAGTAAAAGGTTGCGGCCCTGCGATAGCTTGCCTATGCCACTGCTGGTGCAACGTCCCCTCCACCAAAGTGAGCTCCATAGGGCATCTGCAGTGTTGCTGTATCATTCGAGTGATGTCGGGGGTACCACAATAATGCTCTCTCCAAAAATAACTTGATGGAGGGACACTGGGGAATCGATTTTTGGCAGAGCAGGAATTGGCGAAATGGTGAAATAAAAACTGCAAGGGCAGGTTTGAGTGCTCATTAAATTGGATGCCAAAAATGGACATGCCAAACGTGTCGAGTAATAATAAAGAGCACACGAAAAATATTTGAGATGCTTATTCTTGGTTCTTTCGGTAAAGTCACGTAGAAGGGAAGCAATAAAATAATTTAAATATATATAAAGCAATAGAATTCTCACGACGTTTCGACTGCAATACAAGCAATCATCATCAGGTGTGAAAACCACAGCAAGAAAATTTGAAAAATGTGGCGTTTTTTACGTTTTTTTATTATTTTATTGTTTCCCTTCTACGTGACTTTACCGAAAGAACCAAGAATATGGTGAACAAAGTCTAAATGCGTGATGTTGAATCTAAATGTGGAGGGGAAAAACCGGAGGACCCGGGGAAAAATCCACGCTATCACGGGGGAGTGGCAGAGACATGCAAATCCAAATATACAGCGGGCGTAAGTGTCGGTATTGAACCCACGACCTCCTGTGTATACCAGGCGAGGGAGTTAACATCTCCTAGCTACCGTGATGATGAGAGAGACACGCGCAAACTCCAAATATACAGCAGGCGTCAGTGTCGGTATTGAACTCACGACCTCCTCCATACCAGGCGAGGGAGTTAACATCGCCACTGTTACGCCACCCAGGTCAGCAGAATATTGGCTGTACGAGCATATGCTGGCTTCTGGCACAGCGTGGACATTGTACCACAGCACATGGTGATCTCTCACAGGGAAGTAAATGCAGACCTGTCAGCAACCCCTTATCAGTGCCTGCCTTATTATAATAGTAAGTCAAGGGTCGTATATACTGACCCAGTAGCATATCTTGCAAACTAGAGGCAATCAACAATTTTAAGCATCATTTTCATTCTCAGTGACCCAGAATTAGTCAAGTTGGACTACATTTATTTTGGAAGCATTTTGGCTGTAGACCAGTGTTACGGACCAATTCAGACCTCATTGGTCACCCCGTGCCCTTATGAATGTCAACGTTCGTCATTTCCATCACAAGGGAGAAACACAAACATATAGACACATTTTCCCCCGTATTGAAACGGCTGTATTCATTACGGACCTGAAAACTCAATTTCCCTGTATAAGAATACGGGTAAACGGAATGGGTTGACTGGTATGTAAATGCAGGCGGTCCCCGCTTTTCCGACGCAGCGCGTTCCTGGCAAACCACCGCAGTAAATGGAATCGTCGCAAACCGGAGCCAGAATCGGAAATCAGAATATTTATTTCGCAGCTGTCCAGTAGGGGCGGGTAAGAACGTCACAACAACAAACAGTACAAATACACAATAGGAGTGCAAAGTACAAGAAAGGTCAACAAATAAACCAAATTTTGATTTAAAGCTTTCGTGACTGCAGGGATTCATATTCTTGGTTATTTCGGTAAAGTCACCACGTAGAAGGGAAACAATAAAATAATAAAAATATAAAACAATAAAATTCTCACGACGTTTCGACTGCAATACAAGCAATCATCATCAGGTGTGACTCTTAGATCCAACTGGTTTTCACACCTGATGATGATTGCTTGTGTTGCAGTTGAAACGTCGTGATAATTTTATTGTTTTATATTTTTATTGTTTCCCTTCTACGTGACTTTACCGAAAGAACCAAGAATATGAATCCCTGTAGTCACGAAAGCTTTAAATCAAAATTTGAGGTGCTTGCTAAGAGACGGAAAGAAGCAGCACCATGGATCCGAGAACGCAATCAAATGAGGTCCATTATATCCACGGTTAGGAAGGGTGTATAAAAAATCTTGGAGCAAGATACTCGCACTTCCGATTGGCACGGTTGGCTACGTACGGTGCGGAAGAAGTTCAGTGTACGTACACCGCGCTGGACGCAATTCTGACTGATGGCTGAGACGGATGACGGACGGAGTGGAACGCGTCCGAGAGGAGAATGTCCACCGTGGAGATTGATCCGCCACTCTCTGGGCGTGCGTCTTCTTGTGCTCGCAGCCTTTCTCCTTCGACACAACATGCCCCCACCTATAGCCACCTGGTCTGAGATAAGATGCCACCACTCTGGTACTCTTTCTTGGCCTTCACTTCTGACCCTCTCCAGTCTTGTGGTCCCTGTGTGGATCCGTTCTTATTATTCCCACGGTGCAAAACCTTTGTTCCAGTCCCTGGATCTAAGAGTCATAACAGTCACACACACGTCCGATTAGCACGGTGGGCTACGTACTGTGGGAAATAAGTTCAACGTGCATACACCCGTTTGTCAATACTGGTCCTATTACATTCTCCTAGTGAGTTGGTGTGTGGTGTGCCCATTTTATTATTATTATTTCGTTCAAGTTTCGACAGCTGCGGGGCTTTGCCTGCGCTTGCCTGTTTTAATATGCTCGTGACATTGTTGTTGACCGGGCATGCACTTGTGCACCCGTAATCTTGCGTGCAACAAGGTGTGTGACTTTCACTGAGAATGGTCCGAGGGAGGCTTCCCAGGCGGACGTTTGTATGCTGAAGTGGAACCGCGTGCTTTGTGCGCGCCCCGGCCGTGCAGTGACCTTGGGTTTCAAGCTGTCGTGAAACCTATGGAATGTAATCGATTTGTATTGTTTGCACGGCACACCACTTGGAACACAGAAAGTATGCATCGTTATTGCATAAAGCAAACTGATGTGCACTGATAAACAATAAGCTCTCAATCACTTCATCGTCCTTTCAACCAGTTGACAAGTCCACTACCGATGTATAGCCCCAATGGGATACGAGCATAGAGCTGCGCTGACGAAGTGTAAAGCGAGAATGGGGAAATTGCGCGTTGCCTGCATGCGCTCGTTTCAGATGTCTTCTCCGCGCTCTACGTGTTCACACCTCGACTAACTACGAGCTGGGCCAAACCAGTTCATCACGGCGATTTACCCGGTTTGGGATTGGGCCCTCCCCCAGGCCGACTGCTTTAAATGAGTACCTGGTGCGGGGTGTAAACATGATGACTCGGTAGACAAAGGTGCGGTGTTAACCACGCCACCCCCCAGTGCGCTCCCTGACTGCACTTGGTCCCAACAAGAGAAAACGATGGCTAAAGGGGGAAACGATCTTTCTCTTTGTGTATGCGAGCACGGGGTAGCGGTGGTGTAGTGTTTCCTTGCAGCACTATGGACAACGTCGTTTAGTCGTTTAGCCAGTGCCATGAATCCTGTGCCTAAGTCGACTCGGTCTTAAACGAGCTGCTGGTGCGGTTTTCGTTTTTTGGCGTCCGCAGTGGTGGAGATGAACGGCGGGTGACCAGACGTGTCGTCTGTCGCACCCCACCGCCCCCTTGTGTGTGTACATACAGTGAGGGGAAAAAGTATTTGATTCCCTGCTGATTTTGTACGTTTGCCCACTGACAAAGAAATGATCAGTCTATAATTTTAATGGTAGGTTTATTTGAACAGTGAGAGACAGAATAACAACAAAATAATTCAGAAAAACGCATGTCAAAAATGTTATAAATTGATTT